GGAACAGAAGAAGGGTAGGCCGAGAGGTCAGGGAGGATTACCCGGGTCTAGGTAAGTCATGAACACATTCTGCCAAACTTCCATATCAGTTTCTGCATTCCCATCCTCACGAATAATGTTCCACTAAAAAATATCTTTCCTAGTTGTAGCTCTACAACCACGTTCTGCGGTAGTCGTACCTGAAACTTTTTCCCAATCCCGTGAACTGTTCGACCACCATCAAGAGCTTTCGATATTTTGGTCAGGTATGGGGGAGAGTGAAGGATACTGCTGAGACCGAAACATCGAATACATGTCTTGTACGGAAAGGCCTTGGACTAGACATCTTGGACTAGGTTGGTAAGAGGGTTGCTTCAGTTTGACAAGAGGCGCACGACGAGCAAGCTCTATGGTAGGCCTCTGGTCAACTTCCCGAGGCGTCTAAATATGTCATCAAACCATTTCGTCCTATACCAAACGAGTATTCTCACCTTATACATGCGGCCCTAGACACATAATAAGCCATACTGAATCATGTGGATAAGGTTTGGGACAGTTGGACATCGGTCTCGTCCAGTACACTAGGAGTATCAAATTAACAACAAAACAAACCAGCATTGGATTGTATTGGGTTTTGCAAAAACCTCAGGTCTACCTCTCGTCTTATTACAGACACCGCAGACCTGTCGCTCGAACTAATTTTGAAAGAGTCGATGTCGTCTGGAGTAGCCCAAACTCCAACATTCCATAATTGCATACAGTTTCTGGAATGACACAAACTCAATGGTTGTCCAGTGTATGATGGTAATCCAAATATTTGATTTACCCCCTGTGGTTTCCCCAGCAATTATCGCTGCCGCCAAGCAAGCTTCACGACACCCCGCAGTCTCCTCCACAGAAGCGAAGAAAACCCCCCACCCCACCCCCCCGTTGCCCCTACCATGGGGAAGAATGCCGGGCAGCTCCAGTCCCCCACCACCACCACCAAACAGGTGACTGCACCCTTGCAAGCCAGACCCTGTCAATCAATGCCAATCGCGGTTCCCGCAGTGTCCACAGCTGGTTCGTGCCGGGTGAATTGAGGGGAAGGCGCAAACAACCAGGAAAATAGGCTGAAATCAGAGCTCCGTCATGTGGAACACCCGGGAGCTCCATGGTGCCTCTGACCTCTGTTGCCCTGGCATCGAACCCATCGCAATTTCCAGTTTCCCGTGTCACAGCCCATTTGCACGACGCGAAACCGCACATCGGAACGCATTGGCGACATGGATCGAAGGTTGGAATCGGTCCGTTCGGGAGCAAGTCGCGGCGGGGTGAGCTTCCCTCATCAAGGCCCTCGGTGCTGACTGACCCTGTGGTAGCTTCCATTGCGGAATACAAATCGTCGTTCTTTCCCTCGTCCTCTGGCTTTCCCATCTCGTGATCATTTTTCTCTCATTTTTGTGAAACAGCGTCAGTGACATCATCGCCTTGTACTTGCGCGACAATACTCGAAACCACAGACTACTTCTATTCAACTACCGCCACAACACAATCACTATCATCACCAGCAAACAGATCAGCTGAGTATAGCAGTTCGACAACAACTACTACTACAGCCAACATGTCCAACCCAACCGCCTCCTTCATCCCCCTGGGCGCCATCATCCAGTCCCTGGATGTCGATGGCACCAACATCGTGCTCGGCTTCCCCTCCCAAAAGGCCTACGAGGAACACAACTCCTGCTTCTTCGGCGAGACCATCGGCCGCGTCGCCAACCGTGTCAAGAACGCCAAGATCGACTCTCTCAACGGTGGCAAGTCTTACACCCTGGCGGCTAACAACGGCGTCAACAACCTGCACGGCGGCGTCAAGGGTTGGGGCAAGAAGGTCTGGGACGGCCCCAAGCCCGTTGGTATCAAGGAGATCCCCGCGTTCGAGGGCAAGAGCGACAAGGTTGATGGTGGTGAGAGCGTCCAGTTCACGCTTGTGAGCGAGGACGGCGATGAGGGTTTCCCCGGAACGGTCGAGGCGAGGGTGACCTACACTGTCAGCAAGGAGAAGAGCGAGGATGGCAAGGAGAAGGTCTTGTTGGGTATTGAGTATGAGGCGGAGCTGTTGGACGGTGAGGTCGAGGAGACGGTCATCAACATGACTAACCACTCGTACGTATTTCCTGCCCTGCCCGCCCAGTCTTACCATATCAGACGAAGTCAAGCACACTGCAGCAGTGAACTAACAGACCAAAAACCGACAGATACTTCAACCTAACCGGCGGCGACTCCATTGAGGGCACCATCGTCACCCTCGCCACAAACCAGTACCTCCCTGTCGACGAAGGTGGTATCCCCACCGGTGGGCCCGCGCCCTTCCCCAATCCCGTTGTCCAGGCCGGCGGCAACACCCCCTTCACCCTCGGCGCCGTCGAGCCCGATATCGACGATTGCTTCATCGTCAACGAGGACCCCTCATTGGTCCCCATCGACACCCGCTCGCTGCCCCTCAAGAAGAACCTCAGCGCGTACCACCCCGAGTCCAAGATCCACCTCGAGGTGTACAGCACTGAGCCCGCCTTCCAGTTCTACACGGGCAAGTACATTGACATTCCCGAGGTGGAGGGCGTTCCCGCTCGCAAGGCCCGCGCTGGCTTCTGCCTTGAGCCTAGCAGGTGGGTCAATGCTTGCAATGTGCCCGAGTGGAAGGGACAGATGCTGCTGAAGAAGGGAGAGAAGTATGGGTGCAAGGTTCTGTACAGGGCGTGGAAGGAGTAAGGATGTGAAACAGTAAAGAGGATGATGATGGATGCGAGATTAGATACCAAAAAGGAGGCACGAATTGAAAGTGGTTGTTACACACAATGATGCTCTTACGAGTTCGCGCCTTGTGCATCTACTGTATGGTGATAACCAGCAGCTAAGTCAACGTCGGCGGAGACATCGCCAAAGCAGAACGTGCTAAAAATGGCGAAGAATCATCGCCATCACCCTATTCTCCATCCTCTTCCTCCTCATCCTCATTGTCCCAACCCGCTTCACCATCTTCTCCTCCACCCTCAACCAGCAGCGGCGCGGGTGCCTTCGCCTCCTGCTTCCTCCACAACCCCGCCAAAAACTCACTCGTACTCGCCTCCTCAATCCCTTTATCCTCTCTCTTCCTCAAGAAGCGCGGAAACCTCAAACTCAGCCCCTTATCCTCCCTCACCAGCCCAATCGCCGCCGTATACGTCGGACTAATCGTGATGTCCGCAAACGCCACCTCCCACACCTCCTGCGGCTCAAACCACACATCCGGATTTCCGCCGGCATACTCGACGAACCCCGGTTTCGTCGCATGAACATTGTTCGGCTCGTTATCGGGACTGAACGAGCCGTCTTTATCGTAAAACTCCCGGTTGGCCTTATAGAAGGCGTCGGTGAACCCGCTCATGCACTTGCATACTGCTTCCAGCGATCCCGTCTCTTCGTTGCGCACGGCCAGAAGGATGGGGGACCACCATTTGGCTTTGCGGCCGGAACCGTGCCAGGCGGCGATGGGGAGCAGGTCGAGCGTGTCTGAAAAGCCGGCGGAGGTGCCGATGTAGTCTTTTTTTACTTTGAGCCAGGAGTCGAGACGCTTGTCGGGCTCGTAGGTCGCTAGGAGGGGTTTGCGTCGGGAGGATTGTGGTTTCTTTTCAGGAATGGGGGGCGTGTCGGAGGATGCTGTGGTCTCGGTGGTTTTGGGTTTGGGTTTGGATTTTCCCTTGGGTGGCTTTTTGGAAGAGGCTGGGGCTGGGGTGGCATTGGTGGAGATAGGGAGCTGCTGCTCTTCGAGGGCTTCTGAGTTGGCAGAGTCGTCGGGTATGGGAGCTTCCAGTTCGGACAGGTTGTCGAGAATCTTGACCATGATACCTTCACACTTGCTGTCGACGGCTGACTTAAAGAACTCGAGAACGGTTTCTGAGTCCTGAGACGTCGCATCGATGCTTTTGACCCAGGTGAAGTGATGCGGTATCTCTACAAAGAGTGAACGTAACATGTCGCGGCGTTCTCGGAATGATCTGTTGAGGAGCGGTTGTCCGTTAAGATACATGAGGTCAAAGGCGAACAGACACACGTCGATGGTGATGCTGCCTATTGCCACGTCTTTCCTGGCACGGTTCGTCAATGTCTGGAAGTTCTTCAGCTCGCCGGTGGCCCGGTCCACGGCGACCACTTCGCCCTCCATGATGAAGCTCTGGACATCTTCGCCCCTGATTTTGGGAACGAGCGTGACCAGGTCGGGGTACTTGTCTGTCATGAGTTCGAGATGGCGAGAGAATATGGAGACAACACCCTTCTCGTCGCAGTGAATCTGGGCACGCTGGCCGTCATACTTGTACTCGCATGCGAAGTCCCGCCCTCGAAGTCGAGTGAGCATCTCTGACAAGTCTCTGGTGATGCCACCAAGCATGGGCCGCAGGGGAATGTGAAGTGTTAGACCGCATCGCACCAATAACTCCTCACACACACCAATCTCGAGCAGTACTGGTACAAGGTCGTTGTAATCTGGGTGTCGGGCAAATGAAGCCTTGACTATCTCTTCGGCCTTCAGATAGACTTCGGCAAGCTCCTCTTTCTTCAGCTTCGCCAGTTGACTTGGGTCTTTTGTTGGGAAGTCCGTGCCTGGAGGTTTCGAGAGCAGAAAGGCTCGAGCCAGGGCGATAAGCATGGTGGTTTTGACAGCTCCGATGCGCAACTAAAACCATGTTAGCCAGATGGCATGGCTCGGAGAAGCCCAACTTACATGTTGACATAGTGTCCTAACGACATATCTGCTTTCTTCACCTCCGCGAGCATCTTGGAGCAACTTGTCAACAATCCGTTGCTTTACATCGCCACTGCCCTGACCCTGAGTCTTTGAAATTTTGACCAGTGACCGGAAGACCCCCTTGATTGTTAGCGGTTTTGGCTTTCGTAGAGTAAAGCTCTGTTTCTTCTTTGCCTCAAATGCAACATCGCCCGGGTCACCCAGTTTATCATAGAGTGTCTTTAGCGACCTGTTGTCGAGGCCACACACTTGTTTGAGAGCCTTTGAAATAGCAGAACCGCCAAGACCAAGTTCCATAGAAACATACGGCGGGGAAATGGCGTTCGTTGCGAGCCATACTGCGGGCAACAAACTCGAGGGATCTCCCTCGATCAATAATCGGATGCAGTTAACCAGAGTGTCGACGATTTTGATCCTGCTTGAGGTGCTGCTAACCAAGAGAAAGCATCGTGTGAGGAGGGCATAGGACGCATCTCCTCCATCATTGGCCCATGATTCCTGAAGTTGGGGAATGTACTTGGTTGGGTCGAAGGTCAGCGGACTCTTGTCAAGAGGGATAGATGCTGATGTCTGGTCCTCTGTAGCGGCTGCGGAAGAGAGTGACAATGTATTCTTTCCTTTCAGCTGGTTAGCCTTGGGCGGTGAGGTTAATGTGTGCGGTTTTGCCTCCTTGGTTGGTTCAACTGTGACTGTTTCCACGGACCCTGTTGCTGGCACTGGCACATCCTGCGGGCGGACACTAGTTTCCCTCGGTGTTGACGAGAGCTTTGCCTCGGCATCCCATTCGGCCTGCAGCTTTCGTGCAAGCTCCTCATCGGTCAATTGTTCTTCTGACGGCCCTCGCTGAGTAGCATCAGAGTTAGACCCCTTTGCTGAAGTAGATGGTTCCTTCGAAGCACCGTTCTGCTTTTGTTTAGCAAAGAAGTATTCGAGACCTCTGCTGGGCACCGAAGATGGTTGCTTTGCGCCAGAGTTGAGTTTGCGTGTCTTGGCTGGACTGGACATGTTTTGGATTGGTTGGAGGTTGAAGCTCAGAAAGTCACGGATCAATGATGTTTTGAGTGACAATACGTATGAGGTTGGTTCAAGGCGGTCTCATCACAGGGACTCGTCGGTGTTGCTCAGTTCTCAGATGAATGTTTGCAATCGGACGAAGCCGAGTTGATGACGTCTGCTTGATCGCGACAAGCAACAGCGCGCGTTTGCCAGCTGCACGAGCCTGCCACGCGGCCACCTGACCGATCAGCTGGCGGCCGAAGCTGTCTTGCTGTCAACACGCTTCTGCCATCGAAAACGGCAAGACAATGTCAAGGACCTTTTTTGCCAAGACATTAACCCCACCCCTGGAGCTAACCCCAATCAGGCACTAGTGTTCACACACGAAAAACCAGCCCCATGAAAGGGCAGTGGTTCACGGCAAGAACCCCACCATCCGCTCTTTGATGGATTGAGGCCGAAAACTTGCGAACGCAAAAGACAGCAAGAGAGCCCCTTCGACAGTCGACACTCTGCATTTGTCCCCCCATCAACTGCCAACCTCGCCGAAACTCCAGCACCAACCCCCCCGCGCCCACCCATTCAAGCTCCCGAGGTCCTCCTTCGCCCAAAAGATAAATAACCCCCCGACCCTCAACCAAACTCCGTCCTACTTTTTGCCCATCATGAACGGCGAGGATCCCCAAGAGCGCCCCGACTTCATTCGCGCCATCATCTCCGGTCTCGAGCGTTACAACCCCGAAGCCGCTGGCACTCTCGAAGCCTACCTCACCCAGCAATGTGAGGAGAAGTTCTGCGACTGCAACGCCAACCGCGCGCTGCTCAAGCTGTACGTCGAACCCCTCCATACCTCTTTACCTTTCACGAAAGAGAGACCTGAATGATGTGCAATGTCAACGTTTCCTATTACCTGATCGTGGAACAATATCCGCGAATGAAGTCCATTATTAGCTCTATCTGACAACTGGTCCTCCATTCACTACCTATTACCCTCCCGAGTCATGGTCAACAGAAAAACACCTTGATGAGCAATGTCTTTGCTAACCACAAGCCTGGTCTGCTCCCACCCCCAAACAGCTACCAACTCAACCCCGACCGCATCAAGGATGAGGTCATCACCAACATCCTCGTCAAGGCCATGACCCAGTTCCCCTCGCCCCAGTTCGACCTCTCCCTCCACCTCCTCAGCCCCTCGCAGTCCAACCCGGGCCCCAACTCGTCCTCGGAGCTCACCGAGGCCGTGTCCAAGCTGCGCGCCCTCAACGCCCAGCTCGAGGGCGCCGAGTACGCCCGCTTCTGGGCCACCCTCGACAGCGACGACCTGTACGCCGACCTGACCACCGACATCGCCGGCTTCGAGGACATGATCCGCGTCCGCATCGCCCAGCTCGTCGGCCAGTCGTACCGCGAGATCCAGTTCGCCGTTCTCGAGAGCTGGCTTGGCCTCAACAACGCCGAGGCCACCACCCAGTTCATCACCGAGACGTGCGGCTGGAAGGTCGAGGGCGATCTCGTCCAGATCCCCAAGAACGCCGAGAACGAGGCGCGCAAGGCCGAGATCCGCGAGGACGTCAACGTCGACATGTTCGCGAGGGTGATCAAGCGCAGCTGGGAGGAGTCTGCTTAAGGATCTGTCGACACCACTTAAGCAGTGACAAGATGGATGCTGTGGAGGGAAGGAGATTTGAAGAAATGACCTTTCTTTTGGAACATAAAGGATGGGGCGGAGGATACCTAAGAAGAAGAGAGAGGACAAGGACGAGGACGAGAAACAACCGGGGGGCCTGATGTCAATACCCGTTTAATTACATCCTTCTGTGTGTGTGATTGGGCCCCAAATTTCTTGCATCTGGTAGCAAAAAAGAAAAGCTCTGGCGTTTTTGGGTTTTCAAGACAAATGTTTGAAAGAACGGAATCGGGCGGGCACGTTTTTTTACCCCGTCGCTACGTACTGTTGCTATGTGGCTACTTTACCTGTCTTTTGGTCTCGGAACAAGACAAGCGGTCGCGTAGAAAAGAGGCAGAAGAAGTAGGATTCCTTGACGGCGGTGGTGGGATGTCTTTGCGGGTTTCTGTTATGGTGTTTGGAAGAGCATACATAGTACAGTAGACTTTGTCAAGGGTGTCGGAATATGAAACGATGATATGACCACCCACGTGGTAGTCCCGCGTTTGCCGTGTCGGCGTGACTTTCAAACCTCCGTCAAACTGCCTCCATGTTTGTAAGTTTGTTGCCGTTTTAGCCTTTCGATATTGGATTTGCAGGTCTTCGTTTCATTGTTAAGAGCTAGTTTGATTATATTGTCAATTTAACCCGAAAGATGTCTAGCTTTTGGATCCCTGTGATCATGCCTTTTCACTGCCCAAACAACCATCAATATGTACCCATAGCCCCTTGTCCTCGATAAAAAGCCCACATGCGCATGAAAACATATTCCTTGCCAAACATCCAAGCCCTCGTGTTGTTCTGTGAGCTAGTTTGGTTCATATCGTCTATAGAGAATCATGAAATTTCTTAAACTTTTGGCTCCTTAACGCCTCTTTCACAGCCCAGCGACATTACAAACAAGTAGTCGCTAGATACTTACAGTCCCTTTCCATCGACTTCAGTTCCCGTCTAACATCCTTGAGATGCTCACACTGCCCAGCGCAATTTACCGCTTGACGCTCAACTCCTCCCACTGCACGCCCGTCCACTCCTCCACATAGCCAGCCACGCCTCTCTCCGTTCCCCGCGGGCTACAATCCTTCTCACACACTCCGACAATGATGGTACCCCAATCCATGCCATCCATCGAGTCCTCCTCGCACTCCAGCTCCTCGATCGCATGCGGCGTGAGCTGGACCTCAAACACCCTTCCAGCACCACAGTTTCCACACCTCGGAATCTTGCCCTTGGCCGTGGTGCTGACCTTCTCGTTCGCGGCAGCCGCGGGCACGTGCAAAGCTTGCCCACGGCATCGTTCTTGCTATACAGCAACGGCTGGCCGGCAAACTCGTACCGGATCACTTGCTCTGGGTTCTGGCCCACGCGGTCGGCGAAACGCTGGAAGACCGCGTCCATGGTCGACTCGAAGACGTCCTTGTCCTCGCCACCCTTTCCTCCTCCAGACCCGCCGGCGGCGCCTTCGGTGTCGATGTCCATTGTTTCGATTTTCTGGGGAGGGAGAGACGGGGTCGGGTCGAGAGTCTCGTAGTCGGCGTCCCAGATCCAGCGTTCGGGGTAGGGAGGCGGGAGGGCAGAGGCGTCGGTTGGCCAGGGCTCTGAGGGGGCGGGCGCGGGGAGTTGCTGTTGTTGGGTGTTGTTGAGATTGAGGGTCTGGGCGAAGGTTTTGGGAAGGTCCTTTTCGTCCTTTTCGGCCTGTTCTTGTTTTTGCTGTTCTGTTGTTGTTGGTGTTGTTGTTTCTGTCGTCGCGGGCTTTGATATCTCTGTCGTCTCCTGATTTGGCGCAAACGGATTTACAGCCGCAGCCCCTTTGGGCGCAAAAGGGTTGACTGACGAACCACTACCACCGCCGCCAGTCGCAAAGGGGTTGGTCTTTGCTCCGGTAACCGGCTTCGCGCCAAACAAAGCCTCACCCAGCCCCAGGGTAGAAGCCTTGGGCATTTCCACCTTCTTCTCCTCTACTGGGGCACCCTTCTTCTTATCCTCCTTGGCCGCAGGCGCATCCACCGCCACCCTGACGCCCCTCACGGCTCTGATGCTGCCTTCCTTCCTGCGGCAACTCTTCCTCCGGCAGGAAAAGACGTAGAGACGGCGCTCGTGGCCGGGGAAGCGGTCGGGGAGTTCGGCGTTGAGTTGGAGGAGGAGTACCATGTAGTCCTTGCAGACCTTGCACTTGGCGAGGACGGCCGAGGCCGGGGAGTCCTCTTCGAGCCATTCCTGTTGAACAAAATTTCTTTGATTAGAGAACCAGACGGAGGGGGATGGCGAACGGATTAGGGAACTAAAACATACAGGAACACCACCCAGGCGGCTGATCTTCTCGCCGTTGGAGTCGGCGTCGGCGTAGCCGAGAAGGACATTGGTCTCGGTGAACTCGAGATCCTCACCCTCGTCAGAGGAGTCGTCGTAAGGAGCCATGATTGCTGATGAAGATTCGGTTCAGACGTCCGATGTACGATTGCAAAGTGTTTCGGGAGTACGTTTAGTCGGGAGAGGTAGAGAGAGCTATCCGGTGGATCACAATATGTCAAGCATGGAATTTGGATTTTTTTGGCGCCCGGGCAATTGAACTCCAATGCAACAGCGGGAACCCTCAAATTTTGGCGGGGTAAATCTTTAACGGGCCCCACTATGACCGTGGTCCAGGTCCCGTCTTGTCGACGGCGGTTGATGTGGATGTGGCCCCTGCTCGAAGCAGCCAGCCCCTGAGCTGTCTGGCTGTTGACAAGTCAACTCAGGGGTACATACATATGCGAAGAGTAATAGGCAAGAAGAACCGAACGAAACTGAGCTTTTGACAATCGTTGCCCTGAATTAGGTTCTTAAATAGGTATCTTACATGCAGACGATTTACACAATTATTTAAGAATCGGGTCCGTCCATGCCAGGTCCAGGACCTCCGGCCCTACCCATCTGTCTCGCCTTGAGAAGCTCATCGCACAACAGCAAGTTGGATGCGATACTGGCACTGGAGGCGATGCAGTTCCTCAATACTCTGAACGAATCGTAAACACCCTCCAATGTGGGGTCCATAGGCTCGCCAGTCGCAAGGTCGAGACCGACAACGTTGCCCTCGGCTTGCTCATCTTGAAGAGCGGCGACTAAGAAAGGGAGGTTAGCATGTGCAAAGCAGTAGGGGGCAAAACATGACTTACGAGAATCTTGAACGTCAAGACCGGCGTTAGCGGCAAGGGTCTTGGGAATAACCAAAAGAGCATCGGCGAAAGCCTCAACACCCCACTTGGCCTTGCCCTTGACCGTCTTTGTGAAAGCATCACTCTTGAGGTGGGCAGCGCAAGCGACCTGGAAAGCACCACCGCCAGGAACAACACTCTTGTCGACAATCATGTTGTAGACACTGCGGAGACCATCGCGAACGGCATCCTTGACCTGAGTGATGGTATGCGCATTGGGACCCTTGATAAGGAGGGTGACGGACTTGGGGTCCTTGACCTCCTCAACAAAAGTGTACTTCTCCTCTCCAAGCTGCTGCTCGTAGACAAGGCCAGCCCAGCCGAGAATCTCCGGTGAAAGGTCGTCGACACTGTTCTGAGCAATACCGCCGCAGACGAGCTGAAGTCTCTCCATGTTCCTCCTCTTCGCTCTCCGGAGAGCGAGAATACCGTTCTTGGCCAACACATCCAGAGAAAGAGGGTCGATACCCTTCTGGTTGATGATAACAAAGTTCTTGGTGGGGTCGTTGCCGCAGACCTCCTTCTTGAGCTCGACAATCTTCTTCAGCTTGGCGTCGACGAAGCGGCGCTCACTCTCCACGAGCTTGTCCCTCTGCTCGGCGCTAGAGTAGAAGAAGCCAGAGTTGATCTCGGACTTTTCGTATTCGAGGGAGACGTTGAGGGTGAGGATGTAGGCATTCTCGACGCGCTTGGGCATATCGGGGTGGCGGGCGCCGTGGTCGAGGGCGAGACCACGGATAAGCTGGGTATCAGAGGCAGTGCGGTGTTGCATGGTCATGATCTCGATCATGTGAAGGTCGGGCTTCGCCGGGGCCTGGTAGATAGCGAGGACGGCATCGACAATATCGGCGGTCAAGCTCTGGGCCAAGCTGGCGCTAAGCTTGGTGGCAAGCGATGTGCGGGCGACGGAGAGGAGGAGCTCGCGGTCGACGTCGCGAGGGAGCTTGAACTCATCGAGGAACTGCGACAGTGTCAGGAGTGTTTCAACGGCGGACGAGGATGTATGCTGACCTTGAGCGCCTCGGACTTGGCAATCTCGAAACCATCTGTGATTATCCTGGGGTGAAGACCCTCGGAGATGTGACGATCGGCCTGCTTGAGGAGCTCTCCCACCAACAACACCACCGACGTTGTGCCGTCACCGCAAATGTCGTCTTGGGCGGTCGCAGCACGGGCGATCATAACAGCTGTGGGGTTTTGTATTTGCATCTCACGGAGGAGGACATTGCCATCCTTTGTCAACTTGATCTGTTGTGTAGCGCACGGCGGTCAGCTTGTCTGTTGTGTTTGATATGGCATCCCCGCCTTTCCCACCCCCTTTATTTGGAATTCGTACCTGACCGGCGCCATCGACAAGCCTGAATCGCAGCAGTTGTTGTTAGCCAAAAGTAAAAGGTCGGAAATGCAGCAGGAAGCTTGCGTACATCTTGATGGTGCCCGAGGGGCCCAGGTTGGACTTGAGGACATCTTGGAGGCCCTCACCCGCGGTGATGTTGACCTTGAGAGCTTCGCCCCGCCGCTGTTGACATAGTTAGCAAACAACAACATCCACCACCAAACCCGCTGGGGCCTCGTAGACAGAAGGATCGTTCGTACCCTGGATTCGGCCTTGGGGTTGAGAAGCTGGGCAGCAGACATGGCGGATTAACTGGTCGGTGGTATGAGGATATCGAGAATGTTTGTATAGGAGAAATGCGATTGCGGGGCGGGATGTCTTTGGCATGTAAAGGAGCTGTTCCCTTCCATGCGTTAACTTTTTTTTCCGTCGTGTTCCAGTCCAGAGCCAGGCGATGATTTGGGCGGAGGCGGCAGTGGATGGACATGCGGCAGGCAGCCCCTGTCGTAGGCACAGCTTCCATTGGAGTCCCGCTCCCGTCAGTGCTGGCATTCTGCGGGCGTGCTGGCATGGCATGGAGGGGCGGTGGCAGGGCGGTGGGATGGAACAAGAAGCTAGGACCACCGCCCTACCCTCCCGTACAGAAACTGAGAGCTGTTTCCTCCATCAGGTGGCCTACCCTGACGTCTCAAGTTGAGGCGTTAGAGGTATACCCGTGCCACGCAACCCTTAGGGAAGTGGGTTGCGTGGCACGGGTACAGTTCTGATACCCAGATGTATGTGACCTCAAATGTACTCAAATATCACTTTGAAGCTCGTTTCATGTCGCTTTCCCGACAGACGGCAACGGCTCACTACCCAACCTACGAAGCTTGCTTCTCTGGACCCTTTTTGATACCAGTTGAATTTCTGCGGTATTCAGACTTAAACTGTAACAGCTGCAGCTTGTGTTTGTGTTACACCGCGTCTTTCGCATATGTACCGGATCGACTGGTCAGAACCTCATTTTAAATAACTGAATAAATAGACCATCAATTCTTGCCTTTACCTGTTGCCTAAACCCTCAAGTTCATCAAATACTTTTGCTTCTTTACTCTTGCTTCTTTCCTCCGACCGACTCGTCCGATACCTCTACCTTCCCAAACACAGCATGAGGCTGCCATGCGATTTGCAGTTCGCCGCTACGGCGCTGCTTCTGTTTACATCGCCAGTCCTTGCCCGCAGAATCCCCGTTGATACCGAGGAAGACAACCTCGGATCTAGAGAGACACCGGTGCGACAGGTCGCCATCATCGGTGAGTTTCCAATGTCATGGTGATTGACATGAATCTTGTTTATTTTTATTTTCCTGACCCTCTTCGTACACATGGTCAACACCCACAAGAAGCTAACACACCACACAGGAGCTGGAGCAGCCGGATCTTCCGCCGCTTACCACTTGCGCAAGTATGCGGAAGAATTCAATGTCCCAGTCAACATCACCATCTTTGAAAAGACAGATCGTATTGGTGGACGGACTCTGACCATCAACCCCTACGATGACCCCTCACAGCGACTTGAACTGGGAGCCAGCATCTTCATCGAAAAGAACTTTATCCTCAACAAATCGGTGGAGGAATTTGGCCTCCAAACAAAGGATCCCGATGTAGGGTTCGTCGACGACAACTTGGGATTCTGGGACGGCGAGAAATTTGTCTTTGAGATTGACATGAGCCGCAACTGGCTCGTGAATATGGCCCGCGTCATCTGGAAATATGGCTTTTCCGCCCCTAAGAAGACCCAGGGCCTCGTTGCAAAGACTGTTGAAAGATTCTTGCACTTGTACGAAGAACCGTACTTTCCATTCAAGTCTCTGACACAGCGCGCATACGATCTTGAGCTGACCCCTGCTACGGGCGCCACTGGTGAGGAGTTCTTGAAGGCGAATGGGGTAAGTTGTAGGACGAATCTTGTTCAGCTGTTGGACTGTACGACTGACCATTTCAGATTGATGTTGCCTATGGCACTTATGCCCACGACATCGTTCAAGCCACAACCCGGGTTAACTACGCCTCTAACCTCGGCCGCATCCATGGACTCGACACCATGGTTTCTCTGGCGTCCGATAATGCGCTAGCTGTTCAGGGTGGCAACTGGCAAATCTTCCAAAAGATGGTTGAGAGTTCCGGGGCTTCCATCTTACGCAAGACCTCGGTATCATCTATCGCTTTCGCGAAATCCGGAACCGAAACGACCAGTCCCGCCAGGTACAGTCTCAAAACTGTCTGTTCATCATCTACGGCAAAGACAGCCTATCCGGTAGAGTTTGACAATGTCATCCTCGCCAATCCGTACCAATTCAGTAATATCTCAATTCCGGAGGAGGTGCTGGATACTCCCATTGAGAATATCAACTATGTGCATCTTCATGTCACCATCTTCACCTCGCCCTTCAGTCCCAGCTCCGAATTCTTTGGATTTGAGAATCCGAGAGCTATTCCCGGAGCGGTGCTCACGACGCTCGGCAAGAACGATAACGCAACCTCGGGAGTGGAAGGCGCGGGAAGCGCTGGCTTCTTCAGCATCAGCAAGCTGCGTAGGTTGATGAACCCCAAGACCCAAAAGGAGGAGTACGCCTACAAGATCTTTTCTCCCGAGAAGATCACTCCCGAGTTTCTCAGCCGTTTCTTTGGTGTCAAGGTCCCAGAGACGTTTGTCGCCGAGCCAGGCCAGGACCCAGAGGCTGAAGGGGTCAGCCCCATCACTTGGTATTATCCCCATGAGTTCTTCTCGTATCCCAAGGCCAAGCCTCGCACACAATTCCAGGACCCCATCGTCGGGCCCGGCTTCTACTATACCTCTGGTATGGAGAGCTTCATCTCGACCATGGAGACCAACGCCCTGATGGGCAAAAACGTGGCGAGACTTATCGTGGACGACATGAGGGGAGTGGAGAGCGGAGGTGTCCAGAGTCGTGATGGTAGCCTGGCACCAGGCCAACAGCTCAAGATGACATGTGACAGGGCAGGAAGAGGCGCTGGTAGGGCCGGAGTGCGGAAGGGGGGTGAGGTTCCCAAGACACGGCCGACTGAGTTGCCCCAGATGCCGCTGGTGGACCTTTAACGCACACGGCCGTTGCCCATGAAGAGAAAACCACAGATTCGGCGTTCACACAGGGGACCAGGCGCCTCTCGCGTTGCAGGTGTTTTCGAATGTTCCTTGATTTCCGAGCGCTTGTCCCTGATATAATATGGTAGATGAAATGACATACGATTTCTGAGGTGTATTCATTGGCCTGAATGTCTCTGCCTTGTGCTCATTGGAATCTCCTGGCATCAACGAGACGGCACAAGGACCGTTCATGGTGGATGGTGCCAAGTGACCATCTTTAACAATTCATGCTTAGTTTACCACTGTAGAATGTTGGGGCGTTAACACTCAAACAGCTCCCTATGTTGACGAAGGTGAGACAAGATGAGCGGCGGCACGCATGTGACTCAAATTGGCTTTGACCATCTGTGGCGTTTCGATCAAAGATTATGATATTGATTGGCTTAAATGGATATGCACCGCCACATCCGCCCTGTTATGACGCAGCTTTTGCACGTTCCGTGTGGTACCATCTCCCCCGGATTCGAAGCTCTGCACCTGAAGGGTCGTTCCAGAAGGCAAGGAAGGCCAGAACATGCAAAGTCCCCACTGATCAGAGCGCTATCCTCCTCTGTCTCTTGGGGTCTATGGTATTTACTTTTACCTTTCAACATCCCCCTCCTTCCCTTCAATTCACAACTTAATTCACAGCCAGCGATAACGCACCGTCCACGCCGGTTGCTAAGCTGAGACAGCTCATATCACGTCCAATACGATTAATCAAGTATCATATTGACCGGCGACAGCAATGTTTGTCCTCAGAGGAGGTAAGTCATGATGAACTCCCCTCCACTCAAACGAACCCTGAATCCCTCCCCCACCGTTGGCATATGATCGCTGGCGTTCAGTGGTGGATCATGAACCAGGAAGCAACGCTGGCTGGGCTTGCCCCAGTAACGCGCCCAATCTACTGCCTACCTTACCTTCCTCGCCATCGATGGTCTTCACAGCACCCAGATCGCGCCCACTCAACGTTGACCACATCACATCAAACAGCCACGCGGACTTCAAAATCTTGACCGAGTAACAAAACGAGTATCAGCTAACTTAACCTACCGTACAGCGGCCAAGCTCTTGTTTGGTTCCGGCAACAACCAGGAAACGCTAGTTGAGCTTCCTCAAGGCCAGCTCTACCTCGTCAGACCCCTCTCTCCCAAGGGATATTCCGAACTACTCTTCAAGGACGCCTCGGCGCGCATCCGTCGCACAGCACAAGACTACCAGTACCAGCTCGTTGTTCAGCGAGTATACGAAGAGGGCGAAGCCGAGTTGCTCGCCGAGGAGGAAGGTGAGGACGCCGACATCGACGCCGACATCCTCGCTGCCGAGCGCGACGAAAAGACATTCCTACTCGACGAGGCCCTCCACTTGCGCGTCGAACAGAGAGAAGGTGGTGATCACGTCCTGGCCTGGCGCGACCTGAGCGGAGACGTGGGAGACGTTTACGAGTTTGTTTGCGACACCACCATCTCGTCCTCGCTAGTCAATCAGTTTGAGCTCGCTGCCAAACAGTGCCAGTACGAGCGCAAATATCGCAAGCCCAATACCTTGGCCACGGAAGAGGACCTCCAGCAGTTTGACTTCTTTGACGAGCCACCGATTCCCCAGGCTAGCCCCATTCATAGCCCTGCCCTCCTTACGCGGTCCATTGACTCCATCGACGCCATGCCTCTACATTCGGCCAACACCGGCGTCAAGCGGGAGAAGGCCGCCGCAAGCCCTTCCACACCCGCCAAGTCCTCTACGCCCGCCAAGTCTACGCCTGTGAAGAAGGAGAGAAACTATAGCCCTCCCAAGGCCACGGTACCTCCCGAGGCCCGTGAGGTTATGGCCGCCGAGAAGGGTGAGCTACACTTCTACGACTTCCCCTCGGGCGCATTCGTCCTCCAGGCCGATTCGGCCACAGCAACAGTCTCTGAGATTGGCAACTGGAAATATTGGTTGCAGGTCTCGACTCCCGAACGCGAGTGGCTCGGTATTCCTATCAGCTCGGAGATCAACCCAGTCTTCAACCCCGAATATCTCTCTTTCATCTTCAACCAGTTCACGGATGATGGCTCAGCGTTTTCGTGGCTACTGCGCTTTAAGGACCAGCCCACTCTCGATCGATTCCAAGAGGGTTTGACGTCAGCTCTCTGGGAACAGCAGAATGAGATGAAATGGGCCAAGATCAAGGAGACCGAACAGAACTACGTTCTCGATGCGTTCAACGACTTGGTACTTGAGGATCAGCATCACGAGGAGGAAGAGGAAGAAGAGGAGGAGTTTGAGGATGCGGAGGATGGCGGCCCCCAAAGCGAACACTACGACAGCGACGAAGAGGATGATGATGTTGAATACAAGCCCAAGGACACCGATACGAACAAGTCAATTGCTGTTGGTTACAAGCACGATCGGTCGTTTGTTGTCCGCGGCTCCAAGATTGGTGTCTTCAAGCACACCCCCAGCAACCATCTCGAATTCAGCACCAACATCTCCAAGGTCGAGACACCAAAGGGTGAACTCTTCTCGCCTACCAAGGTCATGCTCCACAATGAGGATCGAAACCTTGTCCTCCAAAAAGATGGTGACCCGAACAAGCTGTATCGCATGGATCTCGAGTACGGCAAGGTCGTGGACGAGTGGAAGGTTCATGACGACATTCCCGTCGTCACCTTTGCGCCTGAAAACAAGTTCGCCCAGATGACCCACGAACCTACCTTCTTGGGCATCAGCAGAAACGCGCTCTACCGTATCGATCCCCGTGTTTCTGGAACCAAGCTTGTCGACAGCCAGCTCAAGCAGTACGCGAGCAAGAACGACTTCTCTGCCCTCGCGACTACCGAGAAGGGTTACATCGCCGTGGCATCCAACAAGGGTGACATTCGTTTGTTTGACCGCCTCGGAATCAACGCCAAGACACACATTCCCGCTCTTGGTGAGCCCATTCTCGGTCTCGATGTTTCTGCCGACGGTCGCTGGGTCCTTGCCACGTGCCGCAACTACCTCCTGCTGGTCGATGCCTTGCAACACGGAGGCAAGAACGATGGCAAGCTTGGGTTTGAGAAGTCCTTTGCTGCCGACTCCAAGCCTCAGCCACGCCGTCTTGCTCTGACTCCCGAGCATGTGGCGCAGTTCACCCATGAGACTGGCAAGCCTGTTAACTTCACGCCTGCCAAGTTCAACACTGGTGCTGGAACTCAGGAAACCAGCATCATCACCGCCACTGGTCCGTATATCATTGAATGGAACCTTAAGAAGGTGCTCACCGGCAGGAAGGCGCCGTATCTCATCAAGCGATATACGGACGATGTCAAGGCCGACGACTTCAAGTTCGGTACGGATAAGAATGTTATTGTTGCACTTCCCCACGAGGTCAACATGGTTGATCATACTCGTCTCAAGAAGCCGACAAGAGAGAGCATTGCTGGTGATTTCCTCAATGCCATGAGGAGAGGCTCGGGTAACAGAGTCGGTGGTCCTCGGACGCCGGCTGCTCAGAGGCTGAGGAGGGAAGATATTGTCGACTCGCCGTATTAAACGGTGTTTGATATGGGAGGTTTGCCATGGTTACCGACGACTTTGCTTTTTTTTTTCTTCCCATTTGTCCACGAAAGGATGGAAGGTGGACAGCTGCTTATTAACGACACGATTATGATGGGGACCTTGATGATGCCAAGGAGTTTATGAATTCAAGCCGGTTTGACGTTTGTTTGTTTATGAGGTTTCTGGAGGCTTCGATGATGGAATGAACGAGCTGTATGGTTTCATTCAGTAGCTAGGTATGTAGCAACATCAATGTGTGTCTACCTGTTTACCACTCATGACTTCTCACAGATGTGATGCGATATCGACAATCTAAAATATTGAGGTGTGTGAGGAGGCCGCTCAGTGTGTGCGTGCGGACCTGGGACTCATTTCAGCCAAGAAGGAGCGAGTGCTCAGTCGTCATTTCCAATCTACTGTGATACCCTTACCGGTACCTCTTCCCGCAATCTAGATGTGGCGATATTAGACAGGTGACCCAGCGGGATGAGATCATTCGCTCCCGCTAACCCAAATTAGTTCTCCGGCAAGTTCCACCGCAGCTCGTGCAAAAAGTAAACCACACTTCTTAAACGTTGCCAACTGCCAAGCATGACACGGGTACGGGAAGAATGAACAAAAGACCAAGAGGGCTCAATAGGGTCCTGCTTCTTTGGTCCATTGCTCGGAAGCAATGCAAGAGCGGCTGGCAACGAGCTTTGTGAAGTGAACTGGTATAACATCAGTGTCTGGAAAAGCATATGATCACAACGCATCCCATCAACATCAACACAAAGGTTTACACCATTTCCTCTGGCTCCTCAAATCATACGCTCTACAATCCCCCAAAACAACTTAGCATAGTCACATCATTCATACCTAGTATCACACAACATGTTCTCCTCAACCGAGCGGACAACTCGTCGCGCCAGCGACGCCACAAACGATTACTCGGCCGGCGCCAACATGAACCCTAACCAAACCTATGGTGAACATCCCGCCTCCGGCCCAGCGCCCTCCACAGCTGGCTTTCACAAGCATGACATCCTCAACAAGCTCGATCCCCGAGTCGATAGCACCATGGACCATCAGCCGGTCGCTGCCATGGTTGCCGCCGAGGGTACCTATGATCACGGTGGTCCTCACAATTCAAGGGTAGCAAACGCTCTAGACCCCAGAGTTGACTCCGCCAGGGATGCTTCCTATCACCATGGTGGCAGTTTGGGCGAAAGCATGCATGGTGCCGCTGGTCCTTCTTCTCTTTCTTCTGCTGCCGCAGCCGCAACCGGATCCCACCACGCTTACGGCAACCGTCAACACCATATCCTACCCGAGGATACCTACGGCCCAAGCCAGTCGTCCCGCCTAGCCAACACTCTCGACCCGCACGTCGATCCCAACCACAACAACCGGATGAATAACCCAAACAGCAACGTTCCACTGCCTCATCCTCACGATGACCACAGAGCCCGTCACGGGTTTCATCACGGCGTAGACGTGGCCACCAACGCTTCCACCGTCACCGCCGCGGGAACTGGACACGGGTTTGGTGCAGCAGGGGGAAGTCATGGAAGTCATGGTCATGGTAATAATCAACATCTGCCGAGCACGCAGCCGCATGGGACGTCTGCTTCGGGTCATAAAGATGGGAGGGGATATCACGACATGAGCGGGAACGTGAGTCAGGGAATCCTACCGAATACGGCTGGCCCGCATGAGAGTGATTTGTTGAATAAATTGGATCCGAGGGGTGGTCATGCTGGGTATTGAGATGGGGCTTAGATTAGCTTGATTAGTTGGCGGGGTTTTTAGGGGATTGGTGGGAAAGTTAACGAAGGGATGGTCAAGGGTGTGAAAGCGTTGAGAACGCTGAGGAAAGGGAGTAAGCTGTATCCAGTTTGTTTAGGTCAATCCAGATTGTGTGGACACTGCTTTGGCAAGTGGGGAGAGGTTAAAGGGTCAAACGAGGGGGGGGGGATACATACCAAGGTACCCAAAGAGAAGGTTCCATGAAATGAATATATTTGATCCCTATGGCTAGGTAGTTTTGGAAAGTGGCGTGGTGTTGAATGTTTTATTTTTGTGGTCTTATTTTGTTTTCGTGTTCCTATGGTGCCACCTTCCATTTTGCTACTGCACCTCCACCGGCTTCCTTGACAGATGGACGAAAAAAAATCGTCAACTTTCTCGAGGAAAAAGGTGATTAGGTGAACCCCTTCACACTGCCGACAACAAACTGACCACACCAGACAATTCTTGCACACCCCCCGGGATACTGCCACGAACGATGGGACGGACATTGAAGCGAGCCGGATCCGACTGTCTTTTATATCGTCTGCTTTGCCTTCTTCCTCCATGTTCCATTGTTGTATGATGGGTTTCTAGAGTCGAAGGAAAGAACTGAGGTAGAAGATCCACCGAGCCCTGACGGGGCTGTCTAGAGCTCTGTACATGGCTGTGTGTTGTCGCTGACATTTGATGAACCCGTGTTCCGATGAGGGAAGGCGGTTGGTTCCTTCAGGTATACCGGAGTGAATGGATATGGTGGGTCTGATGGTGGTGATTGCGGTTTACCGAGGGTGGAGTGAAAATGTATATGGTGTTGGATTGAGTGGAGTTGCTGTCTTTCTGGGTGTTCTGTGGTTCAAGGTGGTAGGTAAGTAGAGTTGTCCATTTTAAATACCCGGCTGGCTGGTTGTTTAACAATTGGGTGTGCATCTGGATTTTGATGTTTTATGCTGGACAGAGAGAGAGAGCCTGGCGAGCTAGGAAACTGCAGTTCATGCAGGGCTGTGCTGCTTTCTGGTAGTGCTGAGAACGAGTGTGGATGAAATGCACCAAGGAGGCACGGTAGAGATTGGTTACATCTCGCCAGACTGAGGATTGAAGGACAAGTGGCCAAAAGAACTCCAAAAGAAGGTGTTGACTTGGCCCTTTGATGAACAAGAAGAAGAGGGAGGGCGGTGACCAGGTAAAGGAGAAAAGGAAAGCAAGAAACACCGCACCGATCAATGCTCATTATATACTTCTTTCAGCTCGTACTTGAGAGAAATCCCTTGCTCACCTGTTTAACAGGGCAGTGCTACACGCTTTTAGTAGGCAGTGAGGCTTTACAAAATAGTAAGACACGTGTCGGGCTCGCAGCGAGGCACAACGACTATTTGCAAACACGTGAGCTGGCCATGCATTAACCACGGATTTTGTACACAGGCGAAGACCTTCAATCCAATATAACCCCAGCCTGGTTCACCATTGATGATGAATCAGTCCAGCCTCAAAGAACCCCCCAAAAATTGCAATGCACAGCCATCCGATCAACAACCTTCGCCCCTCTTCTTCCCCAACCCTAACCCAAAACCCATTCCCATGCGCCCTCTCCGTGAAGTAGCCGAACAACTCCTTTTGTGTCCCGTCACAGAATTTAGCACCTCATCAGAACCAGATGTACACGTAACCGCCAATCCAATCCCAAGACCAACACCAACCCCGACTGCTTCCAATCTCGACGTCATCATCTTGACTTCTTCCATCTCAGCAGCTGGCAATGGCAATGGTGCCGTTCTTGGCCTTTCTTCTTCTTGTCTCCGTCCTCTTACTATCCTGCCATCTCCAACTTCAAGGTTAACAGGGTTGGAAATGGAGACGGGCAAATGCACCCGGTCCCATGGCGCAATGTTCTTGGGGTCTGTTGTGGCTGGTGCTTGACGGCGGCGGCGGTTGGTGCCAGTGCTGGTGCTGGCGCTGAGTGTGCGACTCAGGGAGTGATGGTGAAGAGTTGTAGAGGTGCCGTCTTTTAGACGGGCGAGGAGACTGCTTGCACTGCTGCCGCCGATGATGTCGGTGGTGGGCGCAGAGTAAGAGTCGGACTGGAGAGTACCTGAGGGGGTGAGGAAGGAATCGAATGTGTGGTGGGAAGAGGCACTTGTGGCGAATTGACTTGATTCGGGACCGTTGGATTTCGACTTGAGGTCCGGCTCGGACTTGGAGGATGTGATCTTCTGGAGGGCAATCTTGGGGGCTTTAGTAATCGTTATGGTAAGTGCGGTCGAGGGCCCCAGACGGCGAGCCAAGAGGTCGGGATTGGGTGGCTTGGCCTGGTCAACTGGAGTGGGTAAGGTCGTGATGATTTCTGGTGGTGGAGGACTGGGTGCAGAAAGGTAGTTGGCTGGTATCGAGAGCTTGTTGATGTTCACCGATTCTTTTCGTCTCGAATCTCGCTCCGTTTTGAGAGCTTTGAGGGTGGGTTTGGCGTGTGGCTGTAACGAGGGCTGGCTCCGACTTCGACAGTGACGGTAGGCAGCCGGGCTAGCTGGGAGTCCTGGGCTGATTACCGGACGTCTCTTGCCATTGCTGGGAGGAGTTTGATGGCAATCAAGGGCTTCGCTGGGTTCATTGCGGACGTCTAAACCCCCGTCTGTACTTCGTTGTGTCCTTGTGACCTCTGTCTTCAAAGGTGATGCTGACTTGTGCCTTTGAATAGGAGCCGAGTTGGGAAACCTTAGATCGAGGTACACTGCGGTGCTGGAAGGCCTGTACACCGACTTCTGACTTGCTTGGTGAACCTCAACCTCGGATTCGTCGTCAGAAGCTACACATGTTGTGTTGGATGTGGTGGGAGATGAAGGCTCCGACGGCTCTATCGGACTTGGGATTTCGTCTCGTTGACGAAACTCAAACTCAATCTGCTGGATGGCGATATGCGTATGGAACGGGCAAGCGAGAATGTTTCCAGAAAGCTTTTGAAGTTCTCTAACCTCGGTAGATTTGCCGATGGGACAATAGCTGTGGCCTTTCTTGATGGCTGTCTTGCATTTCAACCATTGGAGGTAGTAGTGTCGTCGTCCTTTGGGGCACCCAATGTAAGGGGTGTAACAGAAAGTACACATTTTGGAGGTTATGGTGAGTGGGATTGCTCTTGGGGATTTAGAATCTGCATTGGATCTATAAAGTAGCCATGTGAGGCTCTAGCTGGTTATATGTGCTCGAGATTTCCAGAACAACAGGGGGTTTGTTGATGCCAGCTTGATCTGATACCAACAGTTAGCGCTCGGGAAGGTGTCCGAGTTCGAAAGAGCATAGCTACACTGTACAAAAAGTCAGTAATCTGAGCCGCGTCAATCGAAGGATGTGCCAACTGGAGACCCATATTGATGGTCCGGGAAGTCCGTAAGCGCCGAGTGTCCTTCGCCATGAAGTCGTCTGCGAGTAAGCGCGCCGGGCCATGATAAGCGCGGTTGCTCCCGTTGTGGCTAGCCTGTCCGGATTTGAACACGACGTCAAAACATCGGCGATCATGGTAGAGAATCCAGCAACCTCGTAAGCTTCCCCTCCAGTTTCCTTCCCATCAAATTCGCGGGTGTGAGTTGAGTGTCCCACCGGCTTGGAAGGCTGGAACGGAGGGAAGTTGAACAGAGGAAGTTGGACTGGACGATGCCGGGCACTGCACGCTCCCTGTTGCTGCTCGCTGGCGCTGTTGCGGGCCGGGCGCCAAGCACAAGGAGAAACGGACGGTGATTGTTCAGAGGTTTGAAGATTTGTGGAGTAAGTATCTAGGTACGTACTGTACATGGTTACGCGGCGCCCTCGGCAGGCAAGGGCTTGGGCCTCTGTTGCGCTGCCCCCGCGCGGTCCAAAGGCAGGCCGGGGCCGGTGACGACAGCAGACATAGCAGTGATCACATCTCCCGTCCTTCAGCAATCCTCGCGCACAGCCGGCACTTGCGATCATCAAACCCCGTTGCGTAGAGACAATGACTTGAGAGACGGACTTCATCTACGGAGAAAACCTGAATTGAAGACTAAAGAGAGCCAGATGCACTCGAGGCACTCACCTCTTAACCGTGGTGGCCCTCATCCACTGCACTTATTGTTAGTGCGCCTCCGCCCTAACCAACAACAACCAATCTCACCGAGCTTCACACGAACAAAAAAATGAAGGGGCAACGAGTATGAGTATGAGTAAGTCGCTCTTGGTATCATTGTTTCTAAAATACATTAGGGAAATAGTAGTACTAAGAATATTTATACAGTCCATCATGATCCATCATCGCATTATCATTATCCGTCTCGTTGCGTGGCTGTACCACTCTCCGTCGCCGTGGTATGCCAGTGTGGTTCATCACGTTATTCATAACTTCATCAGTGTCGTCTTCCCATCATATCATTTCTTCGACAGGGAGGCAGAGTCATTCCATATGTGCTCCCGGGTTTTTGACCTCATCATCTTTCATCCTTTCATCCATCATAAACTTCTCATCTGATCAACGACTTCGGTTTAAGAAACCTAGTATCTCGACCTCGACCTCGACCGGCTCGTGTACACAGCTGCCGGCTGTACAGGCGTGGCCACGTACATCTTATCATCATAAATCACCGGTCTCGACCTAGACCTCGATGAGTGTCTGTGGTGGTGGTGATGGTGGCCGCGCGAGCGCGAGCGGTGCGCCGAGCGGGACCTGGAAGATCGGGACCGGTACATGGCAGCGGGTGGCATGTCGGGGTCGTAGGCTTGGCGGTCCGGAGCGGGAGCCATCCTTGAGTTCTTGTCGCGAGACAGGGACTTGAAGATCCACCAGAGCAGGAGGAGACCGACGATGACTCCGATCACGATACCGACGATGGCACCGGTGCTGAGATTGTCATTTCCACCACCGTTGTTGTTGCCGTCGTCGTTGTCGACTGGTTGTACTACGGTGACGGTGGGCTGGTCCTGGCGGATGACCAAGCTGGCCAATGAGGCTAATGTTTTTGTTGGGGCCATTTTGAAGGTGCGTTTCTGACTGTGTGGGAATGCTTGTGCGCGTGGGAGCTATTCCGGTGATTGGAGAGATTGAGATTTGGCGGATTGAGTCTCTTGTCGAGTGGCAATGGGGTTGTATGGGCGCAAACACCAAGTGGTGTCGATCACGGTCCCCTGATAGGGCTGTAAGTGGTCGATGTGTGCTTGAAAAGCCCTTTTCCCACGGATGATCCGGGTGTGTGGATGGAAAGCAAGTGATGAAGAGGCGATGAAGATTCAACAATCTCAAGAGGCGAATCTGAGTCAAATTATAGAAGCAAAGAGGAGGGTCATCAGAAGCAGGCACGGCAGGGGAAGTGTGCCTGGTTCTTCGTCAGGAACGGCGTGGAGCGTCATGATAACATCACCACTTGGATCGCCGGCCATAAAATGCAAGTAATCCCACCTGGTCTCAGCCAGTTTGGTGGCTGGTTTTAGGCTCAAGTGGTGGTGCTCAATTTGGCTCAGTGGTCAGTCTAGTGATGACCATCTTCAGTTGAGACTTGCTTGGTGACGTTATGAGGCAGCATCGAAGGAAAACTTGGCGTCGAGTTGGGACTTGATTGGCAGTTACGCCGTGCTTATCGCCGGTCGGCACTTGATCTCCAACTTTGGCGCCCTTGACGTCATGACCCAATGAATCGGGTTAGGGTTAGAGGTGATGTTCAGGGGTTCAGGGCCTCAAAGTCGTTGATTTGACGCTAGCCCTCGCAATCTCCTTCCTCGACTTTGAGTACAGTGTGCTCATAGGCCTCTGACGGCCGTTCCTTTCTGTGACTGTTTTGAAGTTTCAGCCGCCCACTCGGTGACTCTGGGGTGCCTGATGCCTCTGAGGCCTGGCGTCACTTGTGTGCGAAGCCCCCAAGCACCAAGCATTCCAGTGGTGCCAAGAGCATCGAAGCACAGCTTAGTCTTTCGGTCAACAACTGCAGTCGAGAAACCGGTCTTTGAAACATGGAGAAAATCCTCCTTCACTGAATGTTTCTCACCTCGGACGAACGTGCCGATTTGTTTCAGAGCAATGCTATGCGGTCAGGGTCTGGCCAAGACATCCCAATGTAACCTACCAGCGTGGTGTGTTCGGTATGACGTTAGGGCTGAGTGTGTGGATGGTTGTGTTCAAGTTAACTTGTTTCCGACCAACCTGCATATGATGTGGCAATTCAAGCTTGACTTACCGGTATGAGGGAGCAAACTCCTGTTGAGGAATTTGATAACCGAAGCAAGACCCCTGGCGCTAGTTCCATCCATCTTCTTCCACTATTGCTCACTATTTGCAACGCGAGTTGACCATCCCAGTCGAAACCAAAGACAGCAGTATCCAAGCCAAACCGAAGACTAGTTCCAAGGTCTCCGTCACCGAACAGAAACAAACAACAACAATATGCCAGAACGCCGCGGACGAAGAGACCGCTACTACGACGATGATGACCTCTCGGACTACTCCGACTACGACCGTCCATCCCGGTCGGCAACAGCACCTCCCAAGCGCCACCGCTCCATAAGCCGCCGAGCCCTGGACAGACTCAGTTCCACATTTAGCAACATGGGCCTCAGCAAAGAACAAAAAGAAGCACGAGCAAGATCAACCGGCCGCCATCGTGATGGCCGGGGCGGCGTGGTGGACGATTATTCCGACTACGACACCGACTACAACACCAACTACACCCACAAAAACAAGAAACGCTCTTCGCGTTCACGACATCACTCCCCCGACCACCGCTCTAGTTCCTCCAAATACCCACCCCGCGCCAACCTAAACCGCCAGCGCTCCTACTCCTACTCTCCCGAACGCTACGACGAAAGGCGACGCGGGCGAAGCAGCCACCGGAGCACGGGCGGCAGCCGGGACCCGCGTTCCAAAAGCCGCTGGACGCGAAGCATCGACTCCGCGCTCGACGCCGCTGCAATCGAAGCCATCAGGGTGCGCAAGGAGCCGGGGCCCTGGACGGGCAGGAAAGGGTCGAGAGTCCTGACGGCGGCGATGGCGGCTGCGGCGCTGGGGGCGGCGACGGAGCATAGGAATGGACATGCGCATGAGGATGGGAGGGGGGATAAGAAGGGGAAGATCGGGAGTGCGTTGGGCGGGTTGGTGATTAATCGGATGCTGAATGGGCCGAGGAAGGATCTGAGGAGAGGCAGGGAATATTAGGTTGGGAATGGGTGGAGGGTAAAATGGTGATGAAGGAAAACAAGAAGAGATACGTTATGGGGTATGGATAAGAGGTATGATTATGAAGTTTTAATTGATGAACAACGAAGGGATTTGGTTAGATATCATGATGTTATGACGCGACGGTTCTACTTGGGACTTCAGATAGAGTTGCCAAAAGTCTTAATGCCACTTGAAATATGAACATCAACAACAGCTTGGGTTCCATGTTCTCCTCACAGTTAAGTCACTGGAGACTTTGCCCACGTGTTGGTCTTGTCTAACAACGGACAGAATCTGCTGGTATGCCTTTGTCAAAAGTGCGAGCCACTATAAGCGTTCAGGGGCGATTGAAATCCTTCACTTTCACAAAATTGCTACCACGGCCTCTTCAAATGGCACGACCTTCACCGCTACCTTTTGTAGCTAAGCCACTATTTTCTCATTTGTATGCTGATCTTGGTGTTTCCAGTGGATTGACGGTCGACGACCATAACGATAGTCTCATCTTAGGTTTCATTGTATCTGAAGTCCGAGTTGAGGCTCGGAAAACTATCCCTGCACCGGTAGCACTCGACCAGGAGTGCTACCATAACTTACCTTATTAGCGTGGCTTACAACTGAATGTAAGCGGTAGTTTAGCCGCAATCCTTCGACGCACCGTTATTTTATTGTTCTGGTCTTGGAGTTCATCTGAGGCTCCTCTGTGGCCATAGTGTGATTGCGGCTCAGCAAATTTAATGCTTGTAGCCGTAGCATTGACATCGCAAGTTCGCAACTAGAACGAAATGAAAGTTCGGACTTCTTCGAAAGACGGCAACTTCATACCCGTGGTTGCACCAGGCAACAATAATAACAACCTAACTGGACGTTGGACAGTAACTTCGACGACGTGAAAGTTGTCAAAGACGGGAAGTATAAAGATGTCTTGACATGCTCACTTTACGGTAATCAGTACGAAAGAGCCAGACATCATTCACACACACACTTTCACCCCCTCTCTCTCTCACCTACTCACTTTCACGCTTTCACACTTTCACACTTTCACACAGTCACAATGGTCAACTACCGCTTCCTCACTCTCGCCGCGCTCGCCCTGCCCTTGGTAGCAGCGGCCCCTACCGCCTCCGCCTCCGAGACCCTCGAAGTCCGCTCGGAACATGAAGTGGAAGTCTTCTCCTTTGAGAAATGGGTCGACTCCATCATCGCCAACCCCGACACAGCTTTATCATCCGAGCAGGCTATCGAGGCGTGGAAAGCTTCGACCAACGGCACTTCTTCTGCTGCTACTGATGCTGCTGGGACTCTGTCCAAGCGCTCTTGTATGCCCATGGCTGATCAGGCCTATGTATGTTATGTCCAATTTCCATCCTCCCCCATCTCCATCAGACCCTGACGGGCCAATCCTCCTCTTCAACCGCACAACGGGCAACGACTGACAGTTCCCTTTTCGTAAAACAGGTCCCCGACGCAGTAGTCTGCATCAACAAGCTCGCCTCCCTCGGCTCGCAAGCTTGCGTCGCCAACGCTGTGGCCTTCTTCTGGACCCATGGCCGCGCGCAGGTGGTGGGCGTCGCCGGCCCCGTCGCCTACGTGTCGACGACGTGCCAGAAGGTGGCGCAGACGGCGGGCAAGATCATGGATCAGTGCACGAGCGGGCAATTCACGGGCGGACAGATTCCGAATGTGGGTGATAGCAGGATGCAGGTTCATTTGAGGTTGCCTTAAATTTTTGGGGAAACTGTGGCTAGTTGGGGTGAAGAGCTGGTGGTGAAGAGTTGGAGGTGGATGGTAGTAATGCTGGCTTGGTGAATTAGGTTTGCATTTCTTTCCCGAATGTTTGCAAAACCTTGGAAAAGCAAGGAAAAAGGGAGGCGAAAAGAACAAGCAAGAGGTTAAAAGAAAAAGTGCAAAAAAGATGTCTTGTTGTGATCCGACTGAGGCTCGATCTCAGGACCTTCAGTGTGTTAGACTGACGTGATAACCAACTACACCATCGGACCATAACATTTGATGTCTTAGCCGCTCAAAATTTGCACTCAAGAACTAACCTGTGCGCATGATTCAGTGGACTTGCACTGATCTCCCGGCATCAATGTCCGTCCGCTGGCAACACCACCAACCGAAGTGTCTCCTGTTTCGTGTTATACACACCCATCGATATTGCCCACCAGATAGCTAGCTGTATTATAATCAGACTGCCATCAACATATTATCTCGTCTCATATTACGCATCCCCTCCATACCCATATCGAAACCAAACCGCCCGTTACTTCCTAGAGGTATACTCCCCATGCTCCAAAGCCTCAGGATTATGTTCCACATGATGACCATGCTGATCGGTAAACAGCACCTGCTCAACCACCATCCACCTCAATATTAGCACAGCACACCTCAATACAACAAGCAATCCCCAGTACCCAATATCATCCCACTCACTACACTGAAAAAAATCCGAACTTAAGGTACTTAAGGTACTTAACTTGGCGAATGCTTCGCCCCCTCCCTCCCAGCCTCCTCCTTCGTCGCAACAATCTTTTCCACTTCACCTTCATGTCTTTCGCCGCGGGAGCGGGCAAAGATGTGATCGCCCTCGTGGATGGGTTCGTTGTTCTTGTCTTTGAGGACGTCTGAGGGCATCTTTTGGTGACTTGGGCTCAAAGCGATTCAAACGTACAGCGCTAGAATAGACAATTGAGATGTGGTAAAAGGGCTTTAATGAAGTATGTGAGGTCTTCTTGTCTCGCCGATGTGATGAATGAAGTATGGGGATGGAGATGCTTTGTTTGGGCTGTGGAAATGGTTGATGCTGTGAGGGTGCGAGTATGAATGACGTCATTGATCATGAATGATAACCAGCGACGACAAAACATCGCAACTCGAGGAATTGACGGCATCTTAATCAAACCAAACACAATGAAAACAAAGATACACGTACTCGACCGATATGGGAAAAAAGAGCGAGGTTCCCCGTAGCGGAGCAGCGTTTTGCCAGGGTACTAAGCCCAACCTGGCGATCCCGAATGATACCTCTAATTAAGCTGGATGCAGATGGGAACCCATGCGACAAATGCTTCGGTGGACGAACACTCGTGGGCGACTGAGATTAGTCCAAGGATCAATCACATCAACCGTACATGTGTCACTTGCTAACTATCAACATTCACATGGCAGACACAGACTGCTAAGAAATTGCGTTCGTAGATCAACGCCTGGCTTCATGCTATCTCTATATTCACTGATCATTTTTTAACATTCCAAGGCATTCTTTCCTTCCTTCGCCGGGCACCATAACAACTCGACATTGACGATAAGAAGTTGCCATTCCATAAAACATAATTCCCGTTTACCCATAATGCTGCCCGTTTAACAACCGCAACCTGTTCGGTTCCCGCTAACACTACTCAACCACGTTGCGAAGAAACAAAAAGTCGAACCATAAACTTCATTTACAAATCCAACCCCCACTGCCACAACCAGTCACCCACTCACGACTCCTGGTTGTCAGTAAGGTTGGTGGACTTTAGCGCACCCGTGACGCCTTCAATAGCCTTATTGGCCGCGTTGGCAATACCCTCGCGGATGCCATGCTGCTCCTTTTGCGCATCGGCGTTATTATCAGCCTCTGCGCTTATCCTCGTCAGCTCGGCAACGAAGCTCTGGCCCCACCAAGCGCTGGTGTACTTGAAGACATAGCGTTCAAGCTTGCGATAGTTGGCCTCGCGCTGGTCGGGGCTCATGGTAACCGCGTCGTGGATCGCGTTGGCAAGCTCCTCCGTGTTCCAAGGGTTGACGATCAAACTTCCGTTCAAACTTTGAGCTGCGCCAGTGAACTCGGACAAAATCATGACGCCATGATTCTCGCGCTGCGTGGCAATGTACTCATACGAGACGAGGTTCATGCCATCACGGGTGGAGCTGACCAAGCAGACATCGCTGACAGCGTAGAGAGCAGTGAGCTCATCGAACGAGACGGATTGGTGGAGGAAGTGGATGGGCATGAACTCGACAGTGCCGAATTTGCCGTTGATACGGCCGACAAGCTCGTTAACAACGGCGCGTAGGTTCTGATATTCTTCGACGTCCTGTCGGCTGGGCACGGCAACCTGGACTAGCACGATCTTGCCGATCCACTCGGGATGCTCAGTAAGGAAGACCTCGAGAGCGTGTAGCTTTTGTGGCACGCCCTTGATGTAATCGAGACGGTCGACACCAACGATGAGCTTGACACCTTCGAACTTGCGTTTGAGTGTCGCGATACGCTGCTGGACGCTCGGCTTCTTGAGGCCTTCGACAAACTTCTCAGGATCGATACCGATAGGAAAGGCACCAACAGTGACGAATTTTCCATTGAAGTCCACGCCATTAGGGGTAGTCGGTGTTTGGCTGTTGAAATGTTAGTCCAAGCTTGGGGGAGCAAGCGCATCTGGCTTGACGACTGTGCCGACTTACAGAATTCGGGAACAGCTGCTCAGGAAGTGCCTGGCGTAGTCGTATGTGTGGAAGCCAATCAGATCGCAGTCGAGGATACCCAGCAGAAGCGCTTCCCGGACAGGCAAAATTCGATAGATTTCACTGCTGGGGAAGGGGGTATGAAGGAAGAAGCCAATCTTGATGTTCTTCTTGGTGTTGCCGATCTCCTCGCGAAGCATTTGGGGAAGCAGCATCAGGTGATAATCGTGGACCCAGATCATATCTCCGTCCTGGACATCCTTGACAACCTCCTTTGCGAACAAGCGGTTGACCTCGCGGTAAGCAGCCCAGGCGGACTCGTCGAAGGTGATCTCACCGGGGTGGTAGTGGAAGAGCGGCCAGAGGATGGAATCTGTAGAGAGGAGCACTGATGTCAGACAAAGAAGCGGGTAACAGAGAATGACGCAAGCTGCTACTGCTTCACTTACTCGCAAAACCGTTATAATGACGATCAGCCAGCTCATCGTCAACAAATACGGGAATGGCGTCGTGTTCCTCCTTCAGGCGCTGCTTCATGCTGGCGGCCTCGGACTCGGGAACTTCCAAGCCCGGCCATCCGTACCATTGGAACTTTGTAGTCTTGGCCAGGCCGCTCAAGCCAGTGACGAGACCGCCGGAGGACATGGAGAAAGTGTATTGGCCGTCATCGGAGCGCTTGATGGTGATGGGAAGACGGTTGGAAATGAGCAGCAAGCGGCCGGAGCCGGTTGATTGTGCGTCGACGACACCGGGCATTGTGACGGTTGTGTTTGCTGTGGTCGTGGCGGTTGTTGATATGATGGATCGGGGCGGGGAGGACCGATGATGTATTTATGGATGGCGGGGGTGCTCCAAAATATCGACGTCGCTAAAAGTTGGAGATGGGCGACACGGGGACTGGCTACCTGGCTGTCTGTCGTAAGTTTGTGGACGTTTCTCTTGATCGAATGTGTAGGCCCGCAGCGAGGGAGACAGGATATAGGGAGAATGTGTATGAACGAGGAGAAGATGAAGAAAAGAAGTATGACGGGAAAACGGACGGGACGAGGTAGGAAAATGTAAAAGTGTTGAAGATTGGAAACTTGGAATGGCGGGCCTGAAAGAGAACCTGAAGTGAACAATGCAGTACGTCAATCAACACAAGCCCCGATGGAGTCCAGCGTACGCGCAGCGCTGTGAGAGCTTGGAAAGCAACAGTTGCAAGTGCAAAGGCGGGGCATTGTCAGAAGCAGCGGGAAACGCCAAGCACGCGCAAATGCAACAATGGGTGGGGCTGATTGGCGGATGTCAGAGACGGATGGAGCCTGGACTCCAAAAAATGATGATCGGGATCGTGGACCGGCGCAACCACGGCGGCCGGGGGACAAAGTTGTATCTATCAAACAACAGGTGGTCCATACCAGAACGAAAGCCTGGGCTCAAAAAGCAAACACTTTGTCCTTTGTACGAAAGGTCCCGGGACGAGTTGAATGCAGCCAATATGGAGGTTAACAGAGCCTTGATGGACGGAGAATTCAAATGCATGTTGTATAGAGATTGGAGGCGTTCATGGGTCCCGCCGCCGTTGACAGCGCTTGAGTGTCGAGGAGCAATCAGACGCTCCAGACCAACCTACAGGCACATATCAAGCTCGGGTCCAAAGACCAGACAGAGAGAAACACACGACTTGTCCAACACGCACTGCATGGCATCACCTGCCACTGGTGCTTCACATGTGGATCGTTGATTGCATTCCTGTCGACCACTCACTCAGAGACACAGCATGTTGGCAAACTCGCCGACTCTCCTCAGCTCCGTCTCATTCTCTCTTTCCCTTCCACCACATGGAGTCTTGGACCTGTCAGCACCACCCCCTCCACCGCCATCACTCCCCGATTTGACGGGATCGCGTCCCGGCTTTACACAACATGTCCCTCAACGACGGGATCTTGGCCGCGATTTGGCCGTTTCGACAGGCCCCCAGGGGTCACAAATGGCGCACCTCCTTTACGGTACCGAGCATCATTGAGACAGATTTTGACAATTGCGCATAATAAGAGCGTTACATGGAAAATGCCCAACACCTTGACAAGGCCGCGATGCCTCATCACAAACAAATCAACAGATGGAAGCTTCTCACAATTTCCACTTCCTCGAATCCTCATTATTCCAAACGCCAAGAACAATCCATTCAGCTGTCGGGCATGACGACACCGAACAGAAAGTCACTGCCAGGGCAGCAAGGGAGACCACTGCAAAGCGCATAACCAGGGCGGGGGGTCATTCAGGCTGTGAGCAGCCCCCTGCAACCGTGCTGCAGCGGTGCCCGGGCCCGTGGTGGGTGAGCTCCACTTGCTGTCAGCTTGAACCTGAAAGTCACAAAGTCTCAACCTCATGCGACGCTATTCCAACGAGGGGAGTCAAAGACAACCAATCGATTCAGCACGACTTTTTATTAGTGATTACAGTAGCCCCTATTAAACCCTAACCCATCCATCCTCTATACCTAGTCTATGTGTGTACCTCTCCTTCCATCTTCCCTCCCTAAAGCTTCCTCGGCGTCAGATACACGTTGAGCGCATCCTTGTCCCAAAAATTGAAGATCTTCTGCTTCTTCATCCAGTCGACACTGTCCTCGGCAATCTTCAGATCAAAGTTCCAGAGCAGGCGAGCCAGGATGATGCGCATTTCGAGGTACGCCAGGCTGAAGAGCGGGTCAGCATCTCATGGTCATGTCATACGCCCAGAAAGACGGGGGAGGAAAAGAGACTCACTTCTTGCCAAGGCAGTTGCGGGCTCCAATGTGGAAAGGCTGGAAGGCTTCCTTGTGGTCGTTCTCAAACGCCGGGTCGTTGAGCCAGCGTTCTGGGTGGAAGGTGAACGGGTCCTTAAAGTGCTTATCGTTGTGGTACATGGCCCATTGATGAATGGCAACAATGCTCTGCATATCCTTGTCAGCTTTGGTTCCATCACCTCGACCCTCTTTTGGACTCCCACGAGACTTTGACTTACATCTTCTGGAATAAAGTGACCCGTAATGCTGGCTCCCCCCTTGGGAACCACACGTGGCAAGCCTGTCGGAACAGGGGGGTACATGCGCAGAGCCTCATCCAAGCAGGCCAACAGGTACGGTAGAACGCTGACGCTGGCATAATCGATCTCGTCCTCCGAGTTGAAGGCGCTTCGGATCTCATCCGTGAGTTTCTTGAGAGCAACCGGGCTTGTCGCCAACAGGAAGGTAGCGCCCGCCAGAAGGGTAGCCGTCGTCTCGGATCCGCCGATGATGAGAATGGCGCTGTTGGCTTGCAGCTTGTCGAGCGTGAGCCCCCACTCATCCTTGCGCTTCAGTAACCCTTCGACGAGATCCGCTCGGTCGTGGCCCATTTCCATACGTCTGCGCAGCTTGTCCTTGGCGTTCTCGGTGTGCTTTTCATGCTCCTCCATGAGACTCTTGGGGGCAAGCGCAAGCATGAGCTTTATCAGGGGCGGATAATGCGACAAGACCTGGAAGATTGTGCCAGCACTAGCCATCTTGAACAGGTTCTTTACCCAGGGGTGGTATTCGGACTTTTCAAGACATCCGAAACTGTTTCGCCGTTAGTTTGCTGACTGTCAAATGTAGGAGGACGAGGGATCGTACCCTTCACCAAAAGCCAGATCGCCAATAACATCAAAAGTGGTAAAGTTATACCAGGCCGCGATATCCACCACCTTCTGGCCATTTTCGCCGTGCTCTCTGAGCCTCTGCATCAACAAGTCGATGTATCCTTTGATGAGCGGTTGTTGATCACGCATGCTGCGGTCGCTGAACCCGTGGGCCATGGTCCGTCTCAGCATACCATGCTCCTCGCGTCCAGCGTTGACGATATCCGTTGGCACGCCGTCGACGGGGCGGTAAAATTTCTCCCACTTCTCAAAGTCACCACCGGGACCGGTCCGGTGGCCCATGATGTCCTTCCATGCCTGTGAGTTCGCAAAGGCCAGCTCGTTCGGGGCCACGCGCACAATATCGCCGTACGTTTTGTGCAGTTCCAGCAAGTCAAAGGACAAAGTGCCTTTCAACAACCGTTGACAATATCCTAATCGCGTTGCGCGCATCAACAACGGGCCAGGATACTTTGCCAAAGGGTGGAAGTAAAGGTTATAGATTGCGTATCCGAATACGTAGAGACCGGCCTGGAGTCTGGATCAGTAGGTGATTGGCTTATCGTTCAGTCAATGGCTACCATATACATACCGAAGCGATAGCCAGTGCTATCAGATTCCCCAAACCCATCGTTGCGATGATTTTGCGGGAGTGGGTAAAGGTGACAATGTAAGTGACTCTTCACGGTTCACCGTCTGGTTCTAACACCGTCCCGGAAAAGGTGAGGAAAGACCATCTTAAATACGATCACAGTTCCCCTTTCCCTCGAATTCGCATTTTTTATTTTTTTTTGCCCAGACAACTTAAAAAGCGATAAATTATTCCTGAATTGACCCGCCGCCCAATGAGGCAAAGGACCATGACGATCCGGCAGTTACGAGTACGAACCGCAGCCATCATGCGTGCGGATTGCGGAGACCACACCAATTTGACAACCATAAGAGATGAATTTCCCGGTTCAGGGGTCACACACCTGTTGGAACTAAGCACTACATAGCAAAATGCGAAGTTAAGATCCAAAACGAAATCCGGAATCATGGTTAGACCACATCGCTAAGGCTAGGGAGCCTAGCCACCAAGCAATTGTCGCTATTTCTGGTTTCCCGCTTCGTCGGTATCGAGATTCCTGTGATATCCATGACGGAGAACTCCGTCGGGGTTGGTCTCAAGAAAAAAAAGACAACCCGGACCGGGACCCCCGCGGCCCGTGCCGGGAATGTGGGTTGCGGAAAGTGGGAGAATTGTCGGGGGCATAACAAACTACCGGGCATGTCGTGATGCTTGAGGTCGATACAAAATTGAGTATAGAAAGACACATGTGGCTGCGAACCCCGACGGACGACTGTCTCGACACCATCAATTCCTTTTTTGGAATCATCGACTCTTGTTCCCTGTGCTATAGTTGATTTGGAATATCAACAGGATCCGAAAACGAGGAAGCGGGGTTGGTGTGGTGTGCAACTTCACGGGCTGGGCTTGACTCCGAGACCTCGGGAACTTCGTAAGATGTAGGTGCAGATGGAAAGAAGAAATAGAACAATGTCGGAGAATTGAGAGAAATTCTCGGCGGAAAAGAAGCGGCATTCGCTAGGCCTCGGTAATCGTTCGCACGAAAATAACATGGAAACTCTAGGTGTGTAAGTGACGAGCTGGAAGAACGTGACAAGAATCTCGGTGAGACGGGACGGATCCTTGGACCATCGAGTCGTCGGATACTGGAATTAACAGCCCATGTCTTGGTCTCGTATGTATACTTCCTTCTTATGTAGTTTCTCGATAGCTAGGTACGGAAAAGGAAGTAGCTATGAGGGATGGTGGTCCGTCATGGCATCCGTAGCTGGATCCACAATGCCAAGAAATCTGGATCTTCCACTGATAAGATAAGAACCCGATGGATCCTAATTGTCCCCAGAGATTGAATCCTTTGGAGAACTTCAACGTCGACGTCAGCCACTGCACCCTGCTGTTAGGAGCTCCGAGGAATGCGCAATGACTTCCATCTCAGGGATTGTCCCGTCTCGCCCTGTCTCCCGTTCTGGGAATGGGGATGAGAAGAACGGCACGGAAAGAATGCATTCGAAGCGCCTGTGTTCAGATTGGCTGGTGTCTTATGAGTCCAACTTCTCGTAAGTTTTTCAAATGTATATGACCTTGAATTTGGGGGGCAGGGCAAGACACACCGGAAGGCCGGACTCTGGAAGGCATTTGGTTGCAAGAAAGAAATGAAAGGTTGACCGACTGAAGATCATCCGCTTGAGGAGGGAGGGCTTTTGCCTACCTTACCTATAAAGCAATATCTTGGAGGGACGTGAGCTAATTTCCTCACGCAGCGTAGCCAAAGACCGTGAATGGCTCACTTCCTACACTCCCTTTGAATCCTACGTGCTAGACCACAAGGGTGCCCTTATGGAGGTCCTCGGAATCGGCAGTGTCACCCTTCCTGTCATGCGCAGCAACAGCGACCCTTTGGACGACGAGAATTCGACAAAGAAGGGAGAAGTCACGCTTCAAGAAGTTCTTCATGTTCCCAAAGCGGCTTGCAACGTGGTCTCTAGACATGACAGAGTTCTGGGGCGTCAGGAGCTGTGGATGTTGCCCGATGAGGAGGATCCTTACAAACGGGGCGTCTTCCAACACAGGAGGGGGAAACATGCAGGCCTCGAAAATATGGATGTCTCCGTCTATATACCTCCGAACAGCGGCTCACTGTGCCTACTCGGCCTGGACCTGGATAGCCCACCTACAGGCTACGCGCTGGCGCCTACATCTTTCCCCGGCACTGATGGACATGTCAATGGATCACCGAAATCGAACTTCACGTACAGCGGCGACTTGATACCGCGTACTTGGCCTACCAACCAGAGAGAAAGATGGATCAGGAGGAAGGAAACTGGGGAGGATGATTTGTGTGTTTGTGAACCGGCAAATGCCACAGCGACTGGCGCTACTGGACCACGGATCAAAACCGCGGAGCTGGTGAAGAAGCTCATGGATCAACGGGCCGGACTCATCAGTCAGCTGAAAACGCTGGATGAGCTCATTGATGAGGTGCAAGGCGTCATCCCGCCTCCAGCGGCAGCGACTAGTGTCAACAGTCTCAACACTATACCTGCCACACCCGTCTCCATGGACGCTTCTTTACCTTCAAGTATGAGGTCAGCGTCAACTGCGAATGCTGAACCTACACCAACCTCTACGAACACTCCTTCGGTTTCAGAGTTGGTAGACCACTCCGAGGTCTGCCATGGAGGAGGAGATACTACCCAAACACCTGATTTTGCTCGTGTAACGACGAAAGAAGAGAAAAGGGCGATGGCAGAGCAAGAGGCTATGACTGAGGTAGACGCCATGGAGTGGGAAGAAACCATCGCGGAGGCCATGGAGTGGGAAGAATGCCCGGCAGAAACAGAGTCCATGGAAGAGTCCACAGCAGAGGCAGAGGAAGTAGCAGAGGAAGAACTCATGGGAGAAGAACAGGTTATAGTGAAGGAAGAGGTCATGATAGATGAAGAGGCTATGGCAAAGGAAGAGGTCATGGCAGACGAAACGGAAAAGGGCAAGGCAGAGGACAAGGTAGAAGAGAACGAGGCCCGGTGGGAGACCCAGTCAGAGGTCCAGGCAAAACAAGAGGCCCAGGTGGAAAAAGAGTCCCAGGTTCAAAGAGAGGCACAGGTTGAGGAAGAGGCCCAGGTTGAGGAAGAGGCCCAGGTTGAGGAGAAGGTAGAGAAAGAGGAAGAGGCCCAATGGGAGACAGAGTCAGAGGAAGAGGCAGAGGTCCCAGGAGAGGCTGAGGAAAGAGGTCGAAGAAGATGCAAAGACAAAGGAGGCAAAGGCAGAGAAAAGGTCAAAGCAGGGGAAGAGGCCCAGGTAGAGGAAAAGGTGGAAGATGATGAAGAGGCCCAGTGGGAGACCCAGTCAGAGGAAGAGGTTGAGGAAGAGCCAGAAGAGACAGAGGCAGAGGAAGAGACCCGGAAAGAGGAAGAGTCAGGGAAGAGGTGGAAGAAGAGGCAGATGAAGAGGTAAATGAAGACGCAGAGGTCCGGGCAGAAGAAGAGGCTGAACAAGAGGTGGACGCGCCGGAGCCAGAGGCCAATACAGAGGAGGAGGAACACCAAAAAGTCGCATTCCATATGACTGCCGCGCAGGCAGCAGAAGCAGCACATTGGTTTACCCCTTCGCCAGTTGCGAACCATACAACTCCTGCAAAGGCAGCAGAATCGGCACAACGGTTTACCCCTTTGACAATTGCGAACGGTACAACTCCAGCAGAGGCAATAAAACCAGGACAATGGTCGTATCCTTTGGTGGATTCGACAGTTTGGTACGATACACCTCCTGCAGAGGCAGCAGAATCCGAGACGGGATTGGTTCCATTTTCGACCCTTGGCTTCTTCGTTGATTCCGACCTGGACAAGGGTATCTGTTCTACTTGGCTTACCATTACCTCGGAGGGAGAATATAGGAAAAAAACATGGTGCTATGGTCGGGTTAAGAAGAATAAACTGTCGGAACACGAGAAAGCATGGCTCAAAGCGATCCGTAATTATAGGCCACGCTTCGCTCGCTTCTTCGAAGATCTTGGGTACGACCCTAATTGGGATAAATGGGAGCCGGAGAGGGGAGGAGTCCAGGATAGAGCACATGCACGTACGCTAGTGAAATGGTTTAGGGTGCACGCTCATCCTCCGCTTGTTCACGGCGGAGAGATCATGGTCGATCTCGATGCAGACATCGAAGACGATTACGGTTTGGGGGAGGCAAAGGAGAGACTCAGGGCACTGAGGGCAGCAGGCCTGGAGCGGAGCGCTGAGGCGAGAGGAGAGAACATTTTCATTCAGAATACGACATTATATCTGAGAAAACTGAGGTCGGAGGGGGTCGAGCCCCACTTCAAAGATATCCCTGGCGCGCGTTGGTGGAACTACGAAGAGATCTTCGGCGACTATTGATGTTGTCACGGCGAGTAAAATCTCTGCTTGGACGTCGGAGGACGGACTATACAAAAGGGGGAGGATCAGTCACTGACACAACCAAAGCTGTATAACGTTGATGCTCTTAGAAAAGCCTGGAACGTTGCGCAACCAAGGATAACCTGCTTTTCGTTTACAGAAGGAAAACCTATCATAGTCCACACGCCTCTGTGACGGTACTGACTTGGGTTTCTAAATATTAACCACAAGCTTCCGATGTGCCCATGTCTATACTCTGATCATCCCGTTGTGGAGTCTCCATACCCAGGCCCCCAGAACGATAGCCACGACGATGAAAGAGAACACATTCGCCCCGCCAAATATGACGGAGTAAAAAGTCCAAGCTTGTTCTTCCTTGAACTTCATGACAGTGACAACTATGGCCCATGGCAATGACCACAGTAAGTTCGACCACAGTGACTGGTAGAGGAACCAGCGAGGAACGGTGGCCAGCAGGATGGATGATAGCTGATAGTTGAGAGCGTAGAAGATGTAACACCAATCGATGTTCTGTCAAATGTCAGTCAATGTTTACTCAGTCTCCATCCTGAAGAGAAAGGGAGTTGCATTCTGCTCTCACCTGCCACATCTTCTTCGTAATGTCAGCAACCCGGTCCGAGTTGGAAATGTAGAACGCGAACTGCTTCATTCCCCACAATGAGAGGAAGATGCAAATAGGGATCTCAACCGCCAAAGAACACAAGAGCCGAGTTAATCGCCGGACGGCTGATTCCTACACAGTCCAAAAAGTCAGCAAATGGTTAAGTCGGTGAATGTGACGGACACTCACTCTTGATCTCCTTCCAACTCGCAGCAGGCTTGGAAACCCCCTCCTTCTGCTTCTTCCATACTCCCCACTGATGTCCAACAAAAGTCAACGCGGACGTCTCCAATGCCTGAACCGGAACCATCACCAGCCCCCACCTGATCGTGTTAAACACTCCCCAAGCCGTCGCGTAATCCGCCCCCAGGCCAATGATCCTATTCACCAACCACAAGTAGATCGCGTTTCTCACCGCTGACTCCGCGAACGTGTAAACCGCCTCCTTAGCCATCAACCAGAACCCCGCCGTCCACCACCAAGCAGTTTTCCCCATTCCTTCACCATCTACACGCCCATGTTCTCTTACCTTCCTCCTCGCAACCCAAACAAAATACCCTAGCCCCGCCGCCGCACTCGTCACATCACACGCCAACCTAATCCCCGCCTGCGCCAACACCGTCGGCTTCACTCCCCCACGTGAAACCACGACAAAAACAACATATCCAACACGATATTCACCGCAAAGCCCACCGAACTCACCACAAGCGGCACATCCGGCCAATCCATCGCCCTCGTACAGCTCGCCACAGCCATCTGCACCGCGCTGGTCAGCGCCACCGCCGCCGACAGGCGGACATAGCTGAGACTCTTCTCCCTGATTTCGGGCGGGACGAACCCGGCGGCGAAGGACTCGGCGGCTCCAATGAAGATGATGGTCATGAGCAGGCCCATGACTGTTTGGAAGATAATCAAGGTATAGGAGAGCGAAAGCCGGGTGGAAAGGGAGTAAGAGGCTGAGTTGCCGATGATCAGCCATGCGATGCGCGGCAGGCCTTCGTTGAGAACTTCGGCGATGGTGGAGATGTAGGTGTAGACGTCGGTGAGGACGACGGACGAGGAGTCGATTTGGGCGATCCAGAGCTTCGAAAGGGTCTGGTAGAGCGCCGGGAGGAGGAAGGAGAGGAGGTTGTAGGTTAGGGAACCCCAGTAGCTACATTACATACCAAAGAAGATGGGGTGTTAGTTGGTATACTCTGAGGGAAAGGGATTGGATTTAGGACAGCAGTGGTTGACTTACGTATCTCGACTGGGGATGAGCCCGCGAAGCCCGCTTTTGGGGGATGGATGAGATGGTGGTTCATCGTCGGAGTGGTCGTGAGCATGGTAGACTGATGATGATTCACCTGGCGAGATGGGCGAGATAGTCTCGTTTTCTACGGGATCTTTTGACGACAACATTCTATATCGAGTGCTTTGGTCTGTCGCTCGCCACATATTCTGACAGGGTTGGAACGAAGTGGAAGTCGTCCCTTCCCTTTTTTATATCCTGAAAAAGTCTTCCAATTTCACAAATAGCAGGGGCGAACGACAAAAATGTGATGGTTGGGGTACATGAGGGGTACGCCGGCTTCCGTGTGTCGCCCTGTAGGCCTCGCACGTAGTGGCGGGCTTCACGTTTTGTGTGATGGCGGATGAAGGTTGCATCTCGACCATACTTGTAAAACCAACAGCTGCAATGCTAGACCAGAAAGAGGAAGCCAAGAGCTTTGGATCACACTCGTCTAACTCGCAAGTAAACAAACCCCTGAGGTGAGGCGGATGATAACCAAGGGTTAGGGTTAAAAGTGTGTTTCTGCTACTTGTCTTCCTACCACCATGATCCAGAAAGGGAAAAGATACCCGACCTCCCCCGCTTCTGGATTTCTTACGACTTTCTCACTTTCACTTGGCACATTTCAGCTATACTCCTCGTTGAGGTCTGAAGACCACGAACCAAAAGTTATCCACTCATTTTTGCTGAGTGTTCAAAAGCTCTTTCCATTCTATTCAGTTTTGCCCTCCATCATTCCCGTTTCAATCATGTCCCCGTCACCAAAGCCGGCGCCCCTCATCACCATCTTCTCGCTTTTTGCCCTCTTCACAACAACCACTCCAGCCCTCGCCTCTCACGAATCCCAACACCCCATCACATCTTCCAATCCCAACTCCAATTCCAAGCCCGACTGGCAAAACACCCCCGGCCTCCCCTTCGTAATCAACACCTGGGGCGGCACCTTCACCTCCGCCACTGACTCCGCTTTTTCCTACCTCACCTCCCCTCCCACTTCCGACTCCAGGAATCCCCGCCTAGATGCCATCAACGCCGTCGTAGCCGGCTGCTCTACCTGCGAACGTCTCCAATGCGACGGGACAGTCGGCTACGGCGGCTCACCCGACGAAAGGTGCGAGACGACGCTAGACGCGCTGCTCATGGACGGCGACACGCTTGATTCCGGAGCGGTGGCCAATCTACGGCGGGTGCGAGACGCGATTGCAGTTGCCAAGCGGGTGTTGCTGTATACGAGACACTCGCTGTTGACGGGCGATCAGGCGACGGAGTTTGCGAGAGAGAACGGGTTTGTGGAAGAGGATTTGGGGACGGGCGAGTCGAGGGGGGGTTGTGAGGAGTGGAGGAGGGGAGGGTGTAAGACGGGGTCGTACAGGAGGAATATTATCGGAGATGAAGGAGGAGGAGGATGTGGGCCATTTGTGCCCGTTCCGGAGAGGGAGTTGGGGGTTGACGGGGGGCTTGGAGAGTCGCGGCTATCAGCGGAGGAGAAGACGGGGCACGATACTATCTCTATGATAGCGATTGGGAAGGATGGGAGGATGGCGGCTGGGTCTTCGACGAATGGGGCGTCGCATAAGGTTCCAGGGAGGGTTGGCGATGGACCAATCGTTGGCAGCGGTGCGTATGTTGATGGGGAGGTGGGTGGTTGCGGTGCGACTGGGGATGGAGATATTATGATGCGCTTTCTGCCTTGTTATCAGGCCGTCGAAAGCTTAAGAAGCGGCATGACCCCGACTGAAGCAGCCGAAGACGCGGTACGAAGGATGGTGAGGAAATATCCTAGTATGCAGAGTGGAATCGTGGTGGTGGATAAGAATGGAAATCATGGGGCTGCGGCGTCCGGTTGGACGTTTACGTATGCGTACCGAGGAGAACAAATGACCGAGACGGTGGTGGTCACGGTGCCGCCGGTGGAAGGTGCCATCCCAGTGCTCGTCGATTTGTGACCGACCAGTTGTTCAGCGAAAAGAAGTCTCCGGAGTCACGTCAACCAAGAAGAAAAATCCATTCAAAAACGTGCTAAAAGGGGGTATCTCAAGAATCGAAGCAAACAAAGCCTGCCAACTATCCAAGCCGTACGAAGAGAAGCATCATCATATCCAACATAAAGCCCCGTAGCTCATCAAAGTCATGATCCAAACAAACAAAAGCGTCGCTGAACCGGCGGTCCCAAACAGACCTCTAGCAGCGGCATTCTCTTGCCCAGTCCCGCCCACATCTCCCCACGGAGTCCCTCCCGCCTTCATCACCTCTCCCGACGCGGCGTCTACCTTATCACCCGACGGATACTTGATATCGTAAACCGGGTGATCCCTCAGCCTTTTCGGCTCGCCCAACGTATGCTTGCATTGTGCCTGGTTCGCATTCGGCCAGTCCAGCTCGCACGGCTCGTCGTATCCCCAAATGCAAATCGGGTCGAGGATGTTGTAAAGAATGTGGTTCTCGGCTACCCAGCTGCCGTCCTTGTGGTCGAGGCAGCTCGCCAAAAAGTTCATGCTGTTGGCCGCCGACAGCGGAAGCTTGTGGCCCTTTGTTTTGATCAGATCCTTGCACTCGGAAGCATGCAAATCCTCCGTCTGCATCTCGATGGGCCCGCCGGCGGCCGGTCGGTCGTTGGCACCGTGGCCTGTGGTGAGATAGTTCCAGGCATCGTAGCTGACGTCGTGAGCGCCCTCGGATTGATCGATGCGCAGGAGCTTGACCTTGCGGTCACCGTACTTGAGCGAGACGCAGAGGTTGTTGCAGTCGACTGAGCCGGGCCAGTAGGCGATGCGGTCCGTGTTGACTTTGCAACCGAGGACGCCGATCGAGGATGAGTAGCTGTCGTGAGGGGTGGCCCAGACCGTGGTCGTGGCAGCATGGGTTGCGGTGGCGCAGCAGAGAACGACGACGAGGGCGAGGGAGGACAAACGAGATGCCCAGAGATCGGACGGCGTCACAACTCGTGTTGTTCTCATTGCGAATGAGCGAGATTCGGTAATCATTATTATGTGCTCGTTAACGAATCGCTTAACGGAGGAATGAGTGGCTTCGGGTCGGACAGAATGTTATAAGTGATTGGAATAACCAGATAGAAAAGATGAGCGAACCGCCGTCACGGCGTTCTGCAACACCAACTTAGATGATGTCGATGATGGACATGGATGGAATCCCCCAAGTTCTGCAGAAGATGGGAGGAAGAAGCGAAGAAAAGGGAAGGCCACCGAGGGCCGGGACTGGGGAAACCAAGGGACCAATTCAACTCGCTTGGGGGCGTCTGTTCCTTGCTTGTTCCTGGCAAGAATGTCCCGTTCCTGACGGGAAAGCGACCCTGACATTTGCTTGTTAGTGGTGACATTAACCTTAAGATTAACAAGTGCCCCGTTTGGCTTAGCGCATGTCTCCGTTAACGCCCTTGATTGGTCCTCCCAATTTCCCCGGACTTCGCTTGCAGGCGCTTGTGTTCTTCAGGGCAGTCCCTGGTTCGTTCCCGACGTGGGGAGCGACGGCCCCACCAGAACGAAACAAAAAATGGAGAAAATTCTGCTGCTCTCCAGATTGCAGTTTGCTTGCACCCATATGAGGAAACCATAGCAAAAAAACACCAAAAAAAGAAGAATAACTCGATCCACCAGGGGTCGAACCTGGAACCTCCTGATTCGTAGTCAGACGCTCTGCCATTGAGCCAGCGGACCTTGTTGGAAGAGGTCCCGGATCATGTCTTTATGAGGTTCACTGCTGCTCAACATCTGTCACGACATCTTTTCTCTCTACGTGGTTTACACATGACAGACACTCGGTTATGGTCGTATGTTACTGGCTTCTGCGTACTTGTTGTGTGTGTTCTTGGGTATATCAATGACCGCAATCCTCTGTTCCGCAATTTTCTTGCGTTGGAATCAACCTCTTTTCTTTCAGGCATATACTGAATTCGACCTGCAGATCTTTCACATGTCTTTCTTATGGGGATGCGAGATACCGGATCTCACTTGATAGGCTTGTGCGCTCGATTTCAGGCTCACAGGAGAAGGGCTTTAGAAAGAATTCAAGATGAAGAAGTGCTGATTCTCAGCTGCGTCTACTTGGACCTGGTGCCTAGTCACCTCATAGTGCTGGCCGATCAAACACTGGATTGATCTTTGGACACGTTATTTCATTGATCTATTTAATCAGAGAAGACTCCATGTCCCAATATGCTTGCAAGAGGCCAGTACATCATCCAGCCGCCCAAATCGGTCAATTATCTAACGATTCCCAAGAGAGACAGACTGCTTGAAGGCCGAGACGACGACTGAATGCAGCGTTGGCAAGGAAGTTCCTCAATCATAACCAGTCTCCCAGTGAAACACCACCCCGCAGTGACACCCCTTCATCACCGTCTCTCCTCTGGTAAGCTTTACCACTACTAGAGTGAGAGCGCCACTGCTCTCTTCCGCCATAGTACCTCCAGACTTAGTAGGCTGCTCCGCCTCTATGTGCGCCCGGGATTTCTCGACACTCTCCATCGTTCGCAAAGGCTGTACCCGCCTGGCCCTCCTCCTTTGGACGAGCTCGGCCTCACCCGCAGCAGCATTCATAAACCCTCCTACCGATCGGAGCGGGTAGTCGGTCGGGATGTTGTCGTCAGCACGGGCTGCTAAAAAGCGGATATCGGGGCCTTGGTTTATGTAGGCCTCACAAACCGGCTTCCGTGCCAGCTTCATGCGTAGCAGCAGTAACCTCCGTGACACCGCGAGAAGCGCCGCCAGCGCCAGGGGTACCATTAGTGACTAATTTCCCCATCGTCTCAATCCCAGCGAGGACCAGCGCTGCCTTCGCCTTCGCCCTGATCGTGGCGTCCCGCATCTCTTGTTGTTGGCTTTCTGGGTCTATTACACTCCTTTTCGCAACGGCGTCGTCCATGTCGTCCTCCTCTTGCCAGAGCGTCTCTAGTTGGCTCCGCATTTGTCTCACTGTCTCTGGCTCTGGCCCCTGGTAAGACTGATGTTGAAGACAGCACTGCTGCCGGCTGGGGATGCCATACGTCATGATGGTCCCCGTTGGGATGAGAGGAATCATCATCATCATCGGTGCTGCCGTCGGCAAGCAGAATGGTCTTTGCCGAGTGGAGGTAGCTGTGTGCGATCATGCTGCTGGCAGTGGTGAAAGACGGGACCTGGACCTCTTGGTAAGTTCCTGACTTGTTAGTAAACCGTGTCTTGTCCCCCAGAAATTCAAGGGTGTCGGTGACGAAGCGTCGAAGTGATATGAGGACCCGATGGGCGAAGGTTGGAGGGCCGTGGACGAGGATGAGTGATTTGACGACGCTACTGTCAAGAGACCCGGGAGCCCGCCGAGGTATGTTCCAAGCAGCGTCTGGCTGAGTGAACAGCTCGATGAGGCCAGTGTTCGGAATAAGGCAAATAACAGATAACAAGTAACAAACTGAGCCAATCAAATAAGGCAAATCGAGTCGCGATGTAAATAATCGAGTCGAAGTCGCTTTGTTTGTTTGCTTTGTTTCAATTTGCCAAACTTATATATCCCGTAGCTCTTGTCATGGCGCTGGCGGACCACTACATCACTAGGCTATGTTCCAAAAGGATACAAGTAACCGAAGCTGGCAATTCGGTCGCTCAAGTGGTCTTATATAGTTGTGATGGCAGTCGAGAGGCACAACTGCAAGGCTGCCATCACAGCTCTCGACATTAAAGAGGGTAGATTTCCGCTGGAAATCCAATTCTTTGCAATGATTGGTGCCTAGTACCGTATCCGTTGCTTCCTCCCGTAAAAGTCTACTCCCGTCGGTTACTATTCGTTTGACCGCTGAAAAGGGGAAGAAGGCGCGACTGGGGGATTGCGCACTAGCTTCCCTAGGTTAACTAACTCACTTCTTAAAGTAGTAATACCGACGTAGTATTGAGGGGGTATTAACAAGTCTACATCTAACTATACCTTCCAGCTGTACGTACTAGGCTCCTTTATACTCTCTTTCTCCCTCTCTTTGTCACTCTTTGTAAAAATTTCCGGTCGTTTTTGTTGTGTTTTGACGTTAATATGGCTAACAATGGTGTGTAATTCCTGTATACTGAAAATTTGCCATCGAAACAAGGCAAATAAATCTGGTTGTGAAATAATGCAAATTAGACGATTTGAAACAATTTGTGGCAAATTGATTGTGAATATTTATTTATTTGCCTTATTCCGAACACTGGATGAGGCCGCCCTCGATGCGGAAGAGGTCGAGCGCGGGACGGACGATGATGTTGATGTCTCGGCTCCAAACAGGCACGGAGACAAAGCGGTCGTTGGCCATGGCGGCATTTTGCGCCTCGGTGTTGACCTTGAGCAGTGGGTTGCAGTTGACTTCGAGGAACTTGCTTGTTATAAGGAGATCCAGATGTTGACACCCAAGATCTATAAAGGGGCGAAGGGGGATATGTCCCTCGCTGCTGCTCTCGTGCTTTTCACCGAAGCGCTGGCGTATAGCGGCTCTGGAGGCCGGAGAGTCATCAGCCCCCCATTTGAGATCCCAGAGAACACCGCAATTGTCCTGATAGTCTGAGAGATATTGCTCCCATACCAGGCAACGCAGCTCGTAGGGGAGACGAGAGAAAAGGTGAATGTCCTCGTCAGCCATGGTGTCGACTTTGGCAGGCCGGAATTGATGCGAAGGAAGAGTTTTTTTGCCAAAAGGAAAGCCTGGTTGTTGAATTTAAGGGCAGACAGAGACTCAAAAAGTGAATGGTATTTTCACGCTTTGCAATCTTGGCACCAACCTTCACCAAGATATTCAAGACGACAGGGTGGGCAACAGCTGACAAAGGTTCAAGGTCAGAAACCATTCCCTTCACCTCCAGCGTCCCTCATCCCATACTGGGCCGGTGGATATCAAGACACTGTAAGCGTCCATCAAAGTTGTAAGTTCCATATCAGGTTCTGGCGTGGTGAATAAGATAAGACCTTGACGGAAATGGTGTAGGAGTTAAAGCTTCTCAAATATGTATAGTCAACTTTCTCGTGGGCGTACGTTACCTACTTGTAAACAAAGTTCCGAAAGCCCTAGCCCCAAGACCAGCTACTCACCAGGTCCTCCGAGCCGCTAGTCAAATGGTCAGTTTGAGGTTTCTCACTAGGTAGTCAGATGGTCAGTCTTGAAGACCTGATGAATATAGGGTAATACAAGCCGAAAAAGCGAAGGAAGAAATTCCGTCAACTTATACGCTCTTCAAGACCTGCGTAGAATGATTGCAGTCATACACGTATCTGTATAAACACAAACCCTACCTGGTTGTCACTCCCACTCCCACGGTTGATGCCGGTTCAACAAGCATATTGGATCGCAAACCTCAATCAAATGCCAGTATGCTGTTAGCTAGGTTCGACAGACACTGTCAACACAATGGGTAAACTTACTAGGCTATACTAGCAAAGCAGCGACTTGGCTAATCGCAGGTTCTGATGAACAATCGACGCTTACAATCATATTGTTTTTACAGTTGTGATCCATGGAAGTAGACCCCGTATCAGCAAGGTCGCTTGAGGGGATAAATAGGGTAATATGACTGTAAGACCAGCACATGGAAGACCCAGAAGCGAGGGCAAAATCCTAGACCAAGGAGACCCCAAAAAGCCAAATGTATCATATCATATCTATTAAATCAGCTTATCACACAAGACATGGACGGGACAAAAACTGGTTGAACGAGGCGTTGACATTTCCCATCGCTTCTAGCCCCATATTCCCCCTTCACCAACACCAACACCCAACCACCATGCTATTATAGTAACACCCCTTACTCATCCAGTCATAATCTCCTTAACTTAGAACAACCCAAGCAAATCCTCGTTGCCCCCACCACTCTTGGGAGGAGTCTGACTAGGCGTATGTCCCAGCTGCTGAGCGGGCGGCGGCGGCGCACTCGTCCCACTGAGATCCATACCCGCAAACCCGCTCATCATGTCGCTCATCCCACCTGCAACCGCAGCCGGCGCAGCAGCAGGAGCAGTCGCCGCCGGCGGCATGGGCGGTGGTGCATCGAACAACCCCATGATGTCCGCCATGCCGCCGCTGGGTTGCGGTGGCGCACCGGGTAGACCGCCGACGGTGGCGGGGCTGGCAAACCGATCTGGTGTGCCGACACCACCGCCATGCTCAGCGCTAGCAGGAGCGCCGCCGTCAAAGTCGATGTCGAGAAGGTTCTCGATGTTGTTCTGCTGGCCGCCCTTGGAAGCAGCAGCGACCGACGCGGCAATGGGGTTCTCGGCGGCGTTCTGGCGCTGTTCTTGGATGGCGGCGCGCTGGATCTCGTCGGCGCCGAAGCGGCCCTTGCCGACGAACGACTCGGGAGGCTTGTGGTAAACGGATGCAAGAGTAGAAAGCTCGGAAAGAAGCTGTTCGAGGAGGACGGGAGGGAGAGATGTTACTGTTGTCGTAATGGCCGGCTTTTGTGAGAGAATGATGCTCTGTGAACGTACGTTAGTTACTGTTTACACAATCAGAGGAGCGATTGGTGACAAACTTTGGCAACATCAAGATCGCCAGAGAGGAGACGCCAGTAGATATAAGCACGATCTCTGATATCGGGGTTGTCGTTGTCTGCCGTGGCTTGCTGCAGGACCTTCTGCACCAGGCCCTGGGTGTTGCTGGGCTTCTTCAGGAACAGCTTGACCACAGCGGTAAGAATTTGAAGTTGCGTCTGCGTGAACTCCTCCAGGAAGCCCTCCACAAAGCCTTCCAGAATCTCATCGGCGTTGTTGATTTTCTCGGCATACTCTCCAACAATCCAAATCAAGGCACCCCTGGCGTTGGGCTCATCCAACTCGTCGATGTACTGGCAGAGAGTCGGGATGACGCCTTCGTATCCGGGGTACTTGCGGAGGATATCCTTGATGACGACAATAACCTCTTGTACCACATAGTTGACCTTGGTGGAGATGAGGTCAAGCAACGCGTTGACACACTTTTCGCTAGCGGCCTCAATCTTAATGGCGACCTGGCCAATGGCCTTGACGGCTCTCCTGACAAAGTCCATGTCGACTTCAAGAGCATACTCCTTGAGCTCGGAAAGTAGTTGATCGAAGTTCTTGTCGTTTGCTATCCTGACCATGATCTCCAGTTTCTGGAGCTTGACGTACGGGGGATCGTTGTACTTGCAGAAAAACACCCTCAACTCCTTGGCAAGAATATCGGGATTGGCTTGCAACAGGAGGTCAATGTTTCGTAGAGCGACATACTGCACCTCCGGAGCAGAGGCAATAAGCGTTACGAGAGGAGGCGCCATCTTCTTCAGGTAGGCGCTAACGGTCTTGGGGGGGAGGGCCTTCATGTGGGTAAAGACGACCTTGACGGCGGCCAAAACCACACTGGGGTTGACGTGCTGGAACTGGGGGGCGACTCTTTCGCAAATGTGTTCCGACTCCTTGGCGTCGTGGGCCGTGTACTCGGACAGTGTCGTGAGGATGGTAACTCTTCCCCATTCCGTGCATTCGTTCAGCGCCATAAGCAACTTCTTTAGTGTCGCGGGTGTGAGGACAAGCGCCCTGGTCTCGGGAGCGGTTTCATTGATTTCGGATAAGGCTTGAACCGAGTTGGCCACAACCATGGGATTGGGGTCACCAATCATCTCTTGTAGCGTCTCCAGGAAGCCGTTCTCGATGCACATTGTGGGGTTAAGATCGAACAGTTTGGCGACACAGATGGCGGCGGTCTTGCGCACGTAGGGGGACTCGTCTCGTAGCGTCTTTCGTAGCGGCTCCTCCATGTAATCGATCATCTTGTCAACGCGAATGCAGCCCATGGTTCGAATCGCCAGCGCTCGAATGAGGGGGTTCGGGTCTTCCGAGTCTTGTACGAATGTGTTGACGGCGAGAATGCAGAGATCGGGGTGCGATTTGGCGTAGTTCCTGGACTCAGGGGTTAGCGCTCGTTCGTCGTGAAGAGTGGCGATGCCCTGGGAGGGCTCACATCAAGTAGAGATACACCAGCTTCTTCTGGTCAAGATCCGAGGTCGCAATGTTCTTGAGGACGTCCGGGAAGAGCGCCGACACATCCTTGCCCAGGGTCATGGCCATGATGGTCTTCTGAATGGCCTCCTTTCGCTCGTAGGCATACTGGGACACAAGGCCGGCTCGCAGCTCAAACGTCTCGCCCTTGCGCGGGGGAGCGAACGCGCCCCTAATGCGGTTCATAGCTGACATTGCGAAGGCGTCGGTATTCTGCGCACTCGGGGAGAAAGGGTAGTGGTCGTAGGAGAGATGGCGACGTCGAGGTCGAGGTCGAGGGCGTCGGGCGGTGAAACCAGCTCGAGCTTCGACAAAGGAGAGGGCACCTTAACGGGTGGTCGTGGAAAGGCGCATACACGGATGCTTTTCGGTGTCGATCGCGGAGGTACAGGTATTCGTGAACGCGGGAAAATAAAAAGTGCGAACTAGCCTGGTGTAAGGCTGTGGTTGTCGAGGGCGTGGTCCAGCCTTCGGAATCAAGTCGCTGGGTTGTCGCTGGTATCGGGACGGGATGGATCACGATGATGTGGACGGGCAGATGTCCATTCAGCGTTGTACGCGCTGAATAGCGGCCACTGTGGTCAACTGTGGTGTCCTCCAGATCACTGCAGCGACAGGCCAGAGCATCTTGGCATGAGCCTTGTGTTGCCCCACTCACAGGGTCCTTGGTGCCCCGCTGGAAAGGAGAGCTTCAGCCACACATCACCGTCTTTGAGCATTCTGGAAGCTGTGGCTTGGCACTTGGCGGCGATGATGGTATGGTCGTGACGACGGCGAGACTTACAAGGAACAACCAACTTCGGCGGTCTCTGACTTAGAACGCCATATCATTGGCCATTTGGCGACGTTTCACTACATTAAAGCACAGCATATATATCACGAACTCAAATAGCTCCCTCCCATCACCTCAATTACACCTTATCACCACAATCAAGCTTAAGTGTCAAAGGCCGAGGCGAAACAATGGTAATGCTCCATAGACTCATTCTCGTTGTGAGATAACCTCAGATATGTTATTAAAGACTAAGACTTTGGAACCACAACAGGCCAACTTCCCCAATCTCCGCCGCCTCTTCATCGAAGCCAGGACAGACAGTGAAGAAAGAGACGTGTCAAGAAAAGCAGTACGTCACCTTCATGAATCCGATGCTACTGCTTCAACCATGGTAAAGATAACCTGACATGATGATAGTTTTACAACGCCGTCCTATTCCTAAGCTCCGTCGCAGTCTTCAGCTTGATAGCTCAGAGAATGAACGCCACAAAGTAATCCCGAATTATAACTGGCATGCCCACTGCGTACCTTGATAATCATACAAAACCAAAAGGGGTATAGAACACCTTGCTGAAGAATCGTACACGCTCAAAACATGATGATGATGAAAAGATAAGGATGGTAATACAAGCCTTGGTCGGAACCGGCACCCCGAATCAACCGTCGTGACTTAATCAGACTCGCTCTCAGAACCCAAGAAAGCGAAATCCGCTCTGTGCTTCTTAGCCGGGCCTCTAACCTTTGGCTTTGGCTCGTCCTCCTCCGAGTCGTCATCGTCATCATCATCATCGTCTTGGTCGTCCTCCTCAACCGCATCATCATCATCCTCCCCATCATCATCACCATCACCCTTTTTCTCAGCCTTCTCCTTCTTCTTTTTGGTCTTCTTCTCCTTCTTCTCGTCTCCATCCCCACCCTCGTCATCGTCATCATCCTCCTCTTCATCCTCAGAATCACTCTCAAGCTTCAAGCTCTTCACCTTAGCCGCCGCCCTGCGTCTAGGCCGTCCACCATCGCCCAATCCCCAGCTCTGCTCACCTTCCTTCACTGCCTCCAACTCCTTCTCCAACTCCATGCGCATCTTGATCTCCTTGGCCTTGGACTCGGAGAACCGTCCCGTCATTCCGATCTCGTTGAGCATGTCCCTAAGATGCCTGATCTTGGCTTTGGTGTCGTCGCTGTACTTCTTGAGCTCAAATGCCCAGATCTTGCGGATGCCGCACTTGACGAGCTGGCTTTGGAGTTGCTTGATCAGGGTCTCGTCGGGGGAGAGGTCGGCGGAGGCGGACTTAGATTTTGCGCGGCCCTTGCTGGCAGGCTCCTTTTCCTTGGCTTTGCCACTTCCCTTCTTTTCGCCGCGCTTCGGATGCTCGTCAAAAACTTCGGACATGGAGGAACTTTCACCGCCACCGTCTTTGTTGTCGGCGGGTGGTGCGTTGGTGGGCTTGGATTCGGACAAGGACGACGAGTCTTTAGAGGCGGCACCCTTCTTGGGTTTTGCGGCTTTCCGTTTAGGCGGCTCGTCGTCGATGACTTCGGAAAGCTCGCTCTCGTCATCTGAGGATGCTCCTGGGCTCGTCTCCTTCACTTCAGCCACGGTCTCCTCATCTTTTGCGCTGTCCTTCTCTTTGGGGGTGTCGACATCCATGGCGTCCGATAGCTCGCTTGACTTGTTTCCATCGTCCTCCAATACTGTCTCGTCGATTTCGCTCAGCAGGGACTCTACGTCGGATGCTTCAACTTCCTTCTTCTTCTTCTTCGCAGCGGCGGCGGCCTTCTTGGTTGTTGCCTTGCCCTTGGCAGCAGCAGCCTTGGCGGTAGGTTTCGCTCTCTTCTTGGGTCTTTCGTCGGACTCGCTGCCTTCGGCTTCATCTTCGTCGTCGTCATCGTGGGACACACTCTTCCTCTTGTTCCTGCCCGTCGTCGCCTTTGTCGCCTTGCGCTTCTTGGTCGGTTCCTCTTCGGATTCGTCATCGTCGTCGAATTCCTCCTCTTCGTCCTCTTTGCTATCTTCCGGCTCGCTTAGCTCGGACTCCTCATCTTCATCTGAAGGTGTCGCTGCCTTCTTTGCGCGCTTTTTCGGAGGCGCCTTGGCTTTGGGTTTGGGTTTGGCGCCCCCGGTGGTCTTCGACTTCTTGGGGCTTGGTTTCGCGGGAGCTGAGGATTGAGATGGTTCAGCTTCGCCTGATTCTATCTTGGCCTACGATGGGTATTCTTCTGTCAGCAAGTGATGTGTTTTTTCGGTATGGCTTGATTGAGTCGTCGTCGGCTACTCACGAGAGTGTCCATGACAAGTTCCTTGCTCTTTGCTTTCCAGTCGCCATCTTTGAGGAAGCCCTCGCCAAGCTTGAACTTCTTTTCGACAGCTTCGCGGACAATATTAACGGTTAACTCCTGCGGGCCATGGTAGATGCGGTGCACTGCGTCTGCGATCTCGGTCTCGATTGTCGCATCGGCGACCTTTTTGCGGGGAGGCATGGTTGATGTAGGAGGGTGTAGGTCAGGTCGGGCTTATATTTTTGCTGTCGCAGTCACGATAGTATTCTGAGCCGAATGTTCGAAAATCCTGAGAACCAAATGCCAAGAGTCAAAAAGCTCTCCCGTATGGTTAAAGATAGAATGCGATGGATGACGTTGGTGATCGCGTCGTAGAGGTTCGTGTATGCGATCGAACAGACGCGAACAGACGGGGCTGGTGGATCAGATGTGGAGCCAGAGGACGGCATCAGACAAGGGTCATTGATGTTGGACAAAAGCGGCTGGCCCAAGCGTTTTGAAAGAGCTGTCCTAAAACGGTAGGTCTGTGGTCCGTGTATAACCGCTGCTACACTGTACTTGACAACACTCCATTGAAGACATCGCCAACATCATCCTCCCCGTTCTCTTTCGGAGGTTAAGCATAAAGGTGCCAGCTGTATCCTAAGCCAAATTTCAGCGCTTGGTTTCAACACTGCCGATCCATTCTCCCAACATGCTTTGCTCGTACTGCCCATGGACCGAACTTGGTTGACGGTCGATGCTATGACCAAACTCTTGGTATTGGCTGACCGCAGCTTATTGCCTTCCCGTCACCTTTAAACCCCATTATTTCTCCTAAAACTACGGTCCTTTTCTACCTTCAGGGTTAAGTTCGAGCGAAGAGGCGTCGAACGCGGCCGCCATGGGATTCGGGACGGGAAGATCGCTCCAACTAGAGGTCCCGGGGATAGCGGAAGTCTCCGATTTTTTGCGAGCTGAGTGAGCTACATTGAGAGCTGATGCTTCTGTGGGATAGAACGGCTTTGAAGGATGATGGGACGCTCGATATCATTGTATCACAGCTGTTCGAGAATGCATTATCGCAGAGTGTCAGCAGAGTGTCAGGCAGAGTGTCAACGTCCATCCTGGGAAGGATATAAACTCAGTCTTCTCCCCGCTCCACAGGAAGTGTAGACACTCCAATATCTTTGCCCGAGGAACCCACTAACCATGATCAAAAGCTTTCCAGTCTTGACCCTGGCCCTCTCAACTGCCCTTGGAGCCAACGCATCGCCCAGCCTATCTCTCCTCCCGCGAAGCAACAACAAGCTCGACACCGGCAAACAACACGAAGAATGCCCCCCCCTTCAACAAGGGTGACTTAACCATCAGCTACTTCCAGCTCTACCCCGAAAACGCCGACTGGGACGCCCATTCCTGCCAAATCATCTTCGGGTAAGCTAAAAGCTTCCCCCCTTTCAGCCCCAGCCCATCTCCCCACCCACCCGCTATACCTTGCTTAGCCACCAACTGACCACCACCATCATGTAGATCCCTCTGGAACGCCACCGTAGCCATCTACAACCCCTACCTCTCCCGCATGACCCAAATCCTCACCTTCCCCAACGTCACCGGAACAGGCACCACGCACATCGGCGGCATCGCCCGCGACCCCCACACCGGTTTCTACATGATCCTCACCGACCCAGCCGCAGCATGGGCCACCGAAGGCGCGGACCTGACAGGTGACCACCTGTTGATCAAGTACAATCCCCTTACCTCTTGCACCCTCTGGACCATGAACTTAACCACCGTCACCCACGAAAAGTACGGCGGGTTCCAAGACGTCGAGACCGACAGACGAGGGAACACCTATGTGGTGGGGACCTTTCCTGGCACGATACTCCTGGTAGATAAATACGGCCGGGAGATTAAAGGATGGTATCTCCCTTCCCCCTTTCCGACTCCCGTACCAGGAGTGCCGTTTACGAAAAGGGGTTTTGGCGGGCTAGCTGCCGTGCCTGGAACAAACATCTGTTACGATCCAATAGGAGACCACTTATGTAAGCAGCTAGGTAGACTAATCAGGGCCGCGCCAGGGGTATCGACGCAGCGGCGCCTTGATAAAGATCCAGTATAAAGGAAAGCCTTCCCAGGCCTTCCGAATACTGGGCTCTTCAGCAAGCAATAGCTATCACAGTCTACCAGTACCTTTCGGCTACTACTCTGTTGCTCTATTGTTCTATTCCAGCGATAATACTCCTGTGCTTGTAACGGTTCGTCACAACATCCTCTTACCTAACGACGGTGCCGGGCAAATATACCGCTTTGACATGCTTTCCCAGAAAGGAACGCCCGTGGCGGTGCCGGTGTCGCCCAGGGTGCTGTATAGCAATACCGACGCCATTTATCTGCCGCCTAAATATGGCGGGAAAGGTGTTGCTGGTGGCTAGTTGGGGATTAGGGGTGCAGGTGTTGAGGTCGAAGAAAGCAGAGAAAAAGTGGGAGAGGGCAGAGTATTTGGGGACGGTGGCGGTGGAGTATCCCGTGGATGAAGAGTTTCCGCAGATCGGACCGGAGAGCTTGTATGTTATACTGGCGTTTGGGGATTTTCCGTGGGTAGAGGGGGCGGGCGGGAGGAGGAGGTTTCCGATGCCGGACATTACGCGGGAGGTTGAGGCGCTGTTGAGGAAGTGAGAACCCAGTGAGAATGGTACATGATCTTGGCTGGGGAATGTTGTTGGTAGGTAGCTGACAGGGTCTTTTGGATTTTCTCCGTAGTTGACAGGGCGTCTAGTTCTTTATGAGTCAAGGTACACACAATGTTCGAGAATCCAAAGTACGTTTTTTCTTCTCTATACCGTTTGCTATTTTGTACAGTATTTGAGAACAAATCACTTCGAAGTAGCCGTCAAAACCTTCCATTTGGACCACCCCAGCGGAACAGTCAAGTCCTTCCTCGCACTCTTCTTGTCCACTCGCAAGCCCATTGCCTCCAGGAACTCAGGCGTGATCTCCACGCCCGACGCCCACAATTTATCCACTCGCCCGCTCAATCTTCGCAAAGGCTCGAGTATTTTGTGAAATTGGTTACCTTTCTAGCTGTTCTATGACCACTCCTCAGACCTATCTCCATTGCTCTGGTGACCGGATTGACATCAGCCTGCAGGGCGGCCAGTTGGTGACAGCGGCGTATGGGATGGGATCTGTTGATTAATCTGTATTCCGGTGATGGGTGTGAGGAGTGTAAGTGCAGGGAAATGACGAGCCTGTGTCGCTCGGCTACGTAATCCTCGTGACTTCCTGGCAAGAGAAGGGTGACGGTCGAGTCAACCATATCGGCGCGCTTGGTCATTGCCTCGACGTCGCCATTTTCGGTGGGAGGAGAGGCAATAACCAGGCGGACCTTTTCTCAAATATTTTGCTGCGCGGGGGCCGAGAGGTCCAAGGAGCCCGAAAGGGGCCTTGCCCGGTTCATCATCCGGCTCGGAGTGGGTAATGATGCGAGACCATGATTGCCATCGATTGAAATCCTCCGACCTAGTCCAGCTGAAGAGGATTCGCGACGTGGTCTGATGTAAGATGAACGAGTTTCCGCCGAAGAACCGCTCGTAGACTAGGTCTTGAAAGAATCGGTTGGTGTTTGCAACTGCCATGTGCGCGGAGCCTCGCACGACTGGAGGAGCGGGGCTGAAGAAGTCCGATGATCTTGCTGTGGGCCAGACAGGAATCATCAGTTGGACAAGAGAGCAGAATCTGGCTCCGGCAAGGTCATTTCCTTCGGCAGACGGGTAGAGGAGGTAGTCAAACGTGATAAAGCAGTAGGCACAGCCGACAGGTACAAGGAACGCCACGATCATCTTCCACACTTCAGCAGGCAGCTGGTCAAAACGATAAGGACTAGATTTATGTTGTGTCTTTGGGCTCGAGATCACAGAGTGCCCGCTTGTGCCGTCGCTGTCAGCTCTTTCTGCCATGTCCCAGTCCAGATCGCAAAGAATATGCCCGCGTCCTGGAGGATATTCAGAGAGGGGATGTGAGTAGCCACCAATTGACATTGACATCCTCCTGAGATGTCTATCGCTGTCAGACCTAGGTGACTGGTTTTCGTTAAACTTATCCCAGTCTCGCAACCATCGGCCAAGAACTTGGCCCCGAATAACACCGATATCGGTCGTATCTTCTCGGTCACCCACTTTGGGGTGCCAGAAGCGCTCCTCGCCACGTTGGTAACGCCCCTGGAGGCCCCAAGGCGTCATGCGGATTTCGCCTGTGAAGATAAAGGGAACAACGACAACAAGCTCACGAGGACGAGGAAGGCGAATTTGACGAGGAGGAGGGGGGTACCATTCGGAGGGCATGTCGGCTACGTCCCAACTTTGCGGATCGGTGGGACCACCTTCTTCGGGTACGGTAGGATTTGGGCCCATGCACAAATTCTGAGTGGGAGGAGGTGGAAGGTCGGAGGGAATACGGAAATTTAATAAAATTATGAAACTTGGTGGACATAGAGGCGGGTAGCCGCGTATGAGATTGGATCTGGAAGAGTATGAGACTCGGGAATGGGAACAGCGTCCACCTGTTCAGACATGGTGATAAACGTTGAAGCTTTGGGTTCGCAAGCCACAAGGAAGAGTTTAGATGGAAAAACTGTAGGCGCAAACTCTCGCTGTCCAGTCTTGCATTAGGAAAGAGAGAGACGAAGAAAAGAAAAGCAGCAGAAGTTCGAGCTTTATATCCATGTCTCCTAGTATTGCATACTTGCCGTCGGTGATGGTGTCGATATTGTAGCCCCACCCGAACTTCACGCTAGTCGCTGGTGCCTGGAGGGTGTCGCTCTATTCGGAAGTTTTGATCCAGGGTCCTCGGTGGTCTTTGGATGAAGATGCTATAACATCAGTGTCCATGTTGAGTTCCTCCGCCGCCCTATCTTGAAAGCATTTCCAAGGCCAGAGCGATTCACCAAATATGATCGTTCCTTGATGGAGCTTTTGCCGGAGTCGGACACAAATATATGTTTATTGCGAGGGCTGATTTGTAGTCCTTTGGTCCTCCAACAGGTCGAATCGGGTCCGCCCATCTTTCCAATCGTCAAACGCTTCCGTATCTTTTGTCTATTCCAATTGTCCCGTCTTAAAGGCTTCACAGGGCAATCATGTCGACACCGTCTGCTCCAAATACTCAAAGTACTTCTCGTTCCATTGCGCCAAGAACACGTCGTTGAACAATCCCGGGGCCATGTCGGGCGACACCTCACCATGAGGACAGAAGCTCGGCGGCATAGATTTCTTGTCGTTGACGGCTCGTTCAAAGACCTTGATCAGGCATTTTCCGCAAATCTTGTGATCGCATCCCGGCCTGGAGAGTAAATTCGCGGGCTCCGTTTTGTCTTGGCAGATGTAACATTTTGGCCTGCGTTGAGGGGAGGTGTCAGCAGAGCTTCGAGAACGTATCCATCCCGTCCCGTCCGTGATGGATATACATATGACATCTAGATGCAGTGAAACTTTGACTTACGCGGGTGGGAAGATCTTGATCCAAAAGTTGTCAATTCGGCTCGCCCTGAATTCCGAAGAGTTTGAATCTACGGGGATGTGCGCCAAAGTGTCGAACGACTGGCGATAGGACGGCGCTGGCTCTCGCACGTACTCGTGCTGTTTTGGGTTTCCGTTCGACATGTCTGCTGTCCTGTTGCTGTCGTGGTGTTGTGGAATAATGGAAAGTTTCCCCGGCCGGTCAACGTAAATTGTCTCTTCGGCGCGTTCGGTTCTTGTAGTGCGAATCCGAGGTTCGGTCGGATTGACGCATTCGGCGACCGGAATAGCGATAGAGTGCCATGGCCGTCATTCATGACTAATAAAGATTATGAAGCTGATGATAATTCGTTGGCGTTCCCCGGGCCGAGGTGTACATTGAGCATCATCGGCAGTTGCTCATTCGTGGGTGGTGCGTTCCCTGCAAGCCACGTCTACGGCGCCTTTCAGGGCTTGGGATTGGCCCGTCGCATCCCCTCATGCACTGTAACAATGAGGAGCACTGCAAGGAAGGCATCATGGAAACGCGAACTTTCCTTCCATAGCGCAGTTTCAAGTTGTGCACAATTGAATCGTGATTCACGTCATGCTGTCATATCGGTCATCGACACTATGGTTGATGTCCTCTACAATTATAACTGCAGCATTCATATGCCAAAGCATCAATAACTCGCACTCGCCCGGCTAGCTCAATCGGTAGAGCGTGAGACTCTTAATCTCAAGGTTGTGGGTTCGACCCCCCACGTCGGGCTCAATTCCCGGCGGCGAATTGCGATTCTTCTTTTTTGAACTTTTGCGCATGTGTAGCACATGGCATTTGTCCTTTTTTTGTCGCTCTTGCCTTTGCGAGTTTTGCCATGTGCTTCACTGCGAAAACAATTGTTTCTTTCAACATAATATGCCTCCAATCTAATCTTTCAATATCCCTGCGCATCAGTCCAATATCCACTCCGCTATCGGCAATCATTGGCACAACATGTAAGCCACAAGCCATGAAGTAATTCATACTTTTCCGCAAAGCTTCAACAACGGCCAACTTGCTAATATCTGAACCTTTTTCCCTTTAGTGCTCCACGATACCGACCTTATCAAACAACCATCACGACATTGCATCAACAGAAACGAAAAACATAAACGATCTTGCCTTTTCACCAAACCCTGATCAATCCCGCCAAAACTGAACAGTCGTACAGAGATTTACGAGCCCATCACACCCTTGCTACCGAGCTTACTACCCATCCTTGCCACTGGTTGGATTGGACCTACATAGATCCACGCTCCCCGTTGACAACCAGTGTTACATACCCAGCTACACGTCCACTGATGGAAGACCCAGTGCTCCGGTACCAAAACCTGAAACATCAAATGGAAGTCAGGTCTACAACATGGTCCAGGATTCGTACCTCTTTGTCCGAGGCTATGGATATCAACAAAAAACGGGGGCATAAGGTGGAACACAATGGACTTCCCATGCCTGTCCTGGAAAGCTCTCGCACGAACCACTGAAGGTATGTACTAACGGTCCCTGTCAATATGTGGAACTGAAGTCATCATCATGTCTTGGCTTCTTTGGCACCACGTGGATAAAACAATACATGGCTGCACTGTATACAAGTCGACCATTTTCCTCCCTCTCGTCGTCTTTCCTATCTCTCTCTTCAGTCAATGAAGGAGTTCACCAGCCCTTTCATCGTCTACCGTGGTCACGTACTCTGTATGGTTCAACACAGCATGCCGTACTGTCCGTATGCACCCGGATGATGTATCAGTGCTACACTAACTCCATGCACATATGCATGACGCCCGAGAACCTCCATTTCCTCCAACACAACAACAAGCACTGACGAGATTTGCGACGGCCGACCGCTTCCGAAACCCTACATACCGTCACCGATCGAGCCCCGAATCTCGAAGCCCAAAGTTCACAACTTCCCACCTACCTCGTCACCCATTTGCCGTCGTCCGCCCTACATTCTGATTCTTGGCTACAACATCCACTATGACCTCCCACGATCGACATCCATATCACACAAGATGGAACCAGGGATCAGTTCATAAACGTCACAACCTACACACCTCTATACATATGCACAAACCGTACTGATACTCCGGTAGACTCTCGAGCACCTGCGTCTCCTCAAACTCGACAACAAGCACCGCCGAGCTTGATTACAGTCTTGGCACGAAGCCATACCCTCGTCTCTCCTTGATCGAACCTGGACGGGCAAAGTTCCACCACTACACACCCGACAGACGTACTTCGTCGCCTATATGCCGTCATCGTCGTTATACCTTGATTTCCTGCTCCAAATTCCCCACCATAAGCCCCTCCCTGGGCCCTAGACCAGTGCTAACCTCCATGCATACGTGTAGGTGTTCATGGCCCTCGAGAGCCTCCTCGAACTTGACAACAAGCACCGACGAGCTTGGCGATCGTCCCCAAAGTCCGAACCACAACACCCCGTTTACCAATAAACCTCATACCTCGTACCTCGAAGCGCAAGTCCCACAAATCCTTACTCTGGTACCTGTTCACCCGCCATCATCCTTCCAACATTCCGAGCCCGGGCTGTAACATTCCCACCATAAGCTCGCCCGCACTCCAAGGCCTTTACTACTACGTACATCTGCGCGACGCCCGCGAACTTCCTCCAAACTCGACAATAAGCATCGACCGACAAGCTGTGCGACCGCTCCCAAAATCCCGAATCCATACGTACCTTCCACCGATCGAACCTCGAGCCTTGACGCGCAAGCTCCACAAATAGATACCTACTTCATCGCCCGCTTGCCCGCGCATACCTCCGCCGAGTCACCAATCGAATTTCCTCAAAGCGCAAGCCTCCCCGTTATCTACTTCGTCACTTGTTTGCCTGTCGCGATCCTGCTTACGTTCGGATTCCCTACATTCCCACCACGCGGTCATGAGATCGCCATTCGTACCATACAAAATGATACAGATAAAGAAAAGTACAATAAGGAAGAGGGGGGGACAACTGGTGCACAGGCCAAACGACCAACCGGGGAGTACGCACAGTTGCTGGAGGGGGACGGCGGCAACTCCACGCATGACAGGGATCACCCCGCAAGCCAAGATGTGTAGTGTGGAACACACCGACGGGACGGGAGCTCCCGCGGTGGCTGCATGTGCCATGTGCGCACCTTGTCAGCTTGAAGTCTAAATGTACAGCACCTCATGTATGTAGCTACAGTATTAGACGCTATTGGTTAGACGTAGCTAGTTAGCTCAACATTGCCCATGTCAACCTCTCGATGCCCTGCGTTCGCGAGCCACTCCTTGTTGTTTTCTCAATGTTCTTGGTCAGCAGCAAGTGTAGCGTATCATGAGCGAAGAAGAGTGGTCATGATGAAAGCAAACAAAGTCTCATTAACTATCTAGGGCTGAAATGACGCCTTCTGCCCATTCGGGACCCGTGAGGGTGATGTTGGGCAACCAAGCAAAACCAAGAACCAGAAGCCAGCAGGCAGAGGCTTGGGTGTGACGCCCCGCCGGTGCCAAGTCAGGCCAGACTAGCTAACTAAACTAAAAGGAAACTAATTACAAACTAGACTAAACGCCTCTATACCCAGAATCCCAACCTCTATAGTCCAACGCCAGAAAAGCCAAAAGTCAAACCCAAAAGCGAAAAGCCGAAAGCCGAAAGCCAAAACCAAACCAAAACCAAACCCAAGACCAAACAAACCTCTATGTTCAAACGCCAGAAAGCCAAAAGCCAACCCAAAAGCCAAACCCGAAAGCAAAAAGCAAAAAGCAAAAAGAAAAAGCAAAAAGCAGAAAGCCAGAAAAAGAAAGCCAGAAGCAGAAAGCCAGAAGCAGAAAGCCAAAAACAGAAAGCCAAAAGCAGAAAGTCAAACCCAAAACACGAAACTCGAAAGCAGACGTAAGCAAAAAATTAGCAGCATCCAGCCAAACCAAGCAAAAAGAGCGAAAGAGTGGGAGGGAGGGGTGACATACCTGAGAAGCCAAAAAGAGAATGTACCTAGAAAGTCAAGTCAGCAAACAGAGACGGAAGGGGGCGTACTTACCAACGATCCAGAGACTCAAAATGAGCAGACCTAGACGAATCCGAGCACACTCTCCTCGAGCCAAAAGACCCAAGTCGAGCGGCGGGGAAAGTGTCGGAAATTGCCCGCCTGGCGTCCCCAGACCGAATCCGAGTCTCCCGACCTCCCAGCTGCGGTCCTCCTCGAAGGCTTACCTCAGAGAGGCGAAACGCATTGATTCGGGCCCGCAGGGTGCGGGTGGTGGCGAAAAGGTCGTCTCTCGGCGCAAGCGCTTCAAGCCGAATGACCCTCCACGCCGCAACACGATTGACAGCCTCCGGCTTGGCCGGCATCGGATCTTTGCACCTGTCAGCGAAGCGCACCGACTTGCGCATCGGGGTGTTGCCTCTGTTGCCTCCTCGCGAGGCCCGCGTCTTCAGAATCGACTTCGGC